CCGGGAAACGCATCACCTTTCTTCCTTGCCACCTCGTCGTCTGTGGCAAACTGTGTCATCAGACTGGCATAACTTTTATTGAACTGTCGCCCGGGGTGGCGTTACAACTATCTTTTCGACTCCATATATATGCGTATACTATATAGTGAAAGGGGGGTTGGAGAGGAGCAAAGGTTGGAAAACCCAAAGGTGACAAGTGCCGAGTCAAAAGCCGCAGACATTTGTATAAATTATTACAGTCGCCCCACGGCGGCATTCAAAGCGCTTGTCGATATGCATTTATGATTGCATGTGACATTTGCATGACTCTGCCACGCCCCCTTTCGCCTTTCACCTGTCATTCCCCCCAGCCGCCACTCCCCTTCGTCGCCCACTTGTTAAACAGCTGACTTTGCCATCTTTGGATTCGGTTTCCTTGGGGTCTCTTGAGTCGAAATTGGAATGGAAGTCGGACGTTGAGCGGAGGATGCTTTTCTCCCGTGGCCTTTTGGTATTTGCACGACACAATCATTAAATAGCCATGGCCAAGTGCTGACAACCACAAGTACGGCCAAAAACAAAAACAACAAATTACAAGCTCACATTGTCAGAGTTGCACTTTAGGCGACATAAATTTTATGTACGTCGCCATGACAGAGCGAACAAACAATACGGCGAAAAGAAGATCGCTTTTATAATGACGAGACCTTAATACCCTATTAATTTGAAAGTGCCATGAGTATAGAGTTTTTAATTCCAATTTAAATTTAATTGTGTTTATTTAGGGATAAAGGCATATTATTGTCCAGTGTTTGTGATGATCCTTAGCAATTGGTTTTTATAGCTTAAAGCTATTATACAATCCTTTTCTTGCTCATAACTATAAACTTCTAACTCACTGTTTTAGCCGTTTTAGAAAGGGTATGAAAAAGAAGACTGAAATTCAGTCCAAAAGTAGCAACAACAACAAAAACAGCGGCATCCAAGAGGTGTCAATGTACAATTGCAGCAACAACAACAACAAAAGCAATGACAATGGCAACAAGGAGCTGGCACAACAAAGAGACCATTGTTGTTGTTGTGCTTTTTGTTGCTGTGGCTTTTGTTGCTGGTGTTGTCGTTGATGTTGCTGTTGCACATGCCAAATGCGGACAGAGACACGACGCCAAGGAGCCTGCCGCCCGGACAGAAAGCTCCTCATGCATCGTTACACTGAGCAAAAATTAAGCACTAACCTTCATGTTCATATTTTGACTCATAATACAAAAATAACACTGCTTGCTATGATAAAATATCTTTCTCTCTTAGTTTAAATCACTTTAAACAAATCACTTAAAGTTCAAAACCAGACTTTAACTACGAACTATGTAAGTGCCCCTTAAATATAATGACATTTTAATTTGGCTTCCGAGCTGCAAGGTTCATAATGCGCTTTAAATTGATTAATCAATAAATCAAGAAACAGCCCAATTAATTGCAGTGCACCGACTGGATCCTCCTTTCCTTTGAGGCGGCTACAAAGCATTTCTCACTGTTCTATTGACACACGCAACGCTCGTCTTGGAATGTTGCCGCCGTTGTCGCCACCGCAGCGGCTTGTGTAATTACGCGAGTCGCATTAGCACAACAAATCGACCCCACAGAGCTGCATTTAATTAGTGGCTCAGCAACGTGGACGACGACGACGACGGCGACGGCGACGACGACGGCAAACATGTCAGGCGAAATTGTTGGCATAATTCATAATTGAACTGCATTCGTGGCTGCCACACGCTCTCACATCCTCTGCCGCATCCTTGGTATCTTTGCCAATTTGGAGGCCCAACTCCGCTGGCTTTGATGGCTACATAAATTTTGTGATAGGTTGTGGCGCCCAACGTGGGGCCGTGGTTAGTGTTTGTCGTGCCCGGTGTGCAATGCACCGCAGCCCCCTCTCCCTTGACTTTGAGCTCTTTAAACTGCCGATTTAATACCCTAATGGAAGGGGTATGTTGCATTTATTAGCGGAAATTGGCAGACCTTTAAAAATCATAGTTTTTTACACATATTACAAGCGAAATTCTTCTTGTGTTGTAAACTAAAATTGCTGAAATTTAGAAAGATTATCAATATGATTTGAAGCGTAACGAATTTTAGAAATTAGAGACTAACCAAGGATTTTGAAAAAAGAGTATTTAAAACCTTAAAACCTGAACCCAGATTTTTTTTTATTTTGTGCTCGTTGCCATTGTTTAGAGTCTTTTAAATATTGTAGCCTCCTGTGCGCTGGGCGCACCTACAACATTTCGGGTTGTATGGTATAAGCGGCAGTCCCGTTATTTCTCGCTCTTAGGAGTTGTTAGCCGAGTATTCCATTACCGCAATTCACATGTCGGCCCAAAGCCCACCCAGGTTATTGTTTCCGCGAATGTATCTGTATCTGTATCTGTAAATGTATCTGCGACAGTGTTTTCGCCGGGTTCAAAGACTGTTGACATTCGTGGGTTATTGTTATTGCGATTGTTGCGGCAACCACATCCGTTTTAGTTGCATGTTGCAGGCCATTGATTGACGTAAGCGCTTTAAAGACTTTGTCAAACGGGGTCCATAAAGAACCGACTACTCCGGCGACTCTGGAGTGCAATTTGCCAAAGGGATTGGGTTCTGGGTTCTGGGTTCTCGGCTCTGCACCGAAAAATATGAACAAGCCAAATGGGAAACCGAGGACAGGGAACAAGCCCAAGCGGCAGACATGAGACACCAACACTTCATATGACAATAAAACTTTGTCTGCCATGGAAGCCATGAGGGAAAAAAACTATTCCGAACGATTTAACAATGAATTCTGCAACAAAATCCCCATGAAAATAGATATAAACGGGGACTGGGAGGAAGACGTAATGGTGGGAAGTAGCATATAACCATAATATCAATTTCAATAAACTAACAAGCAAATGTGCGAGATGTGAGCGGAAGCGGACTAACACAGTCCGCAGTATATACAAACTTATGGGGCGTGCAGAGGATGTGGATGTGGATGTGGATGTGGATATGAAGGTTGTCATATGGCGCCAGACAAGCGGACAGGTGCCATAAAGGTAAATTTCAATACCAGCGAGCGAAAGAATAACAGACCTGAGCTCACACAATTGAAAAGATGGGGATATGAAAACAACTTGGCAGTAAGAGCTGACAAAACTCTATTCAAAAGGCGTCCAAATGTTTTTCAGATGATTTTCAAGTAGATAAAATGGAAACTGAAGAGTTCTCTCTAGAATAAAAAATTACCTCCAGCCAACTCTTTATTATTTCTAAATTTTGTATATATCACAAGTTCTTTTATTGGCTTTTCTAGCTTTTGATAAATATTAAACTGCAGTATACTTCGTCTTACTTCCTTAAAAAACTTTCAAAGAGTTGTAGATATTCAACAAAAAACTGAGCCGGAATAAACGTTCCCTTCAGTTCTTTTTTCACTAATGTTTCTTGCCATTCCAGTTGCTTTAAACAGATAAAAAGACCTTTGCTTACCACCAACAAACAGCAATAAAATCCCAACTTTCTGTGAAATTTATTGAGCAAAACTTTAACTTGATTCGAGACAAAGCGGCAGACAGAAAACTAAATCTCCATCTCAGTCTTTTCTAAACGACGAAGTAAGTAACTTCTCGGCTGAAAGACGCACAAGAGTGTGCTATGCAAAATGTTGTCACTCTGCAGCTAGCAGATATTTGCAGCTTATTATCCTGGCAGCTACAACATGTGGATGCGTTTGCTGTATGACAAGTCAAATTAACATGTGAGACACAATCCCCATCCAGTTGGATTCCAAAAGGAATCCGAGTTGCAGTTCTTGCTTGTTGTCATTCGACACTTTGCAAAACTTTGCTCGGGGTGCCGGCAAATGTCAACGCATTTGTGACTCCTCATCCTTGGCCAAATTAATGCCCGGCCAGCATGGCGTATACTTGTTAAATGCAGAGTAGCATCACAGAGCATTCAGGAACATCTCAACAACTGTCGACATTTGTGCCTGCAGCTTTTCTTACAGCAGCCCCCCTGGATTTTCCACCCTTTTTTGCACCGCCTTCAATGTTGCGAGTTCCTTTGTTGCACAAACCCCATTGTTCATTGTTTAAAAAGTGGGTAAAGTGGTGCAGCACACTGGCTGTGGAATAATAAAAACTGATGCAGGACGAGACCTTCGGGGCAAAGTTAAGGCCTCCTGTTCCGGTTTCCTTGCCCCGATTCAACCTTAACCCACATTCGGTTTCAATTATCCGAGTCTCCAGTGGAAACCAGAAAAGCCACTGCCGAAAAAGCTTTAAAAATTAATATGCTCAAAATCTTGAAACAATTTGCAAACTAATAGCAAAAGGCTTAAGATCGCATTAAAAGTTTCCCCCGGAGAACTATCGGCACAGACCACAAGCACCCAAACACGCATATAGAGTTTTGTTTGCCGAGAGATTCAATAAGCAGCAAGTTGTGGGCAGAAAGTTTGCAGTCAGAAAGGCTTAAAGCCTTTTAAAAGTGGCAGCAGCTTAAAGCAAAAACTTCGGCTCTGAAGGCGAAAAATGTTGCACTGCAAGAATAAGTCAAGAAATCATCAACGATGCCATTAGCATGGGGTCCAGAAGTGACCGAAGTTCTTGGCCTCGAGAGTGGCGAAAAGTTTCGTGGGTTTTTCCGAAGGGGTTGATGAAACTTTTAACGAGCTCTTTACATTTTCCCTGCTTCACGCCAAAAAAAAGGAAGAACTAAAAAATGGGAGGTGATAAGAACATATTGTAAAATATAAATACCACTATATAGTTGCTTTTTTAAATGTATTCCGATTCGTCATGTCTATTGAAATTGTTTAGCTGATGAAAGGGTTAGGCTTTCTTTTTTATTTCTTTCTTATTTATTTTGGTTAATGCGATTTATTGACTTATGTTCTTGTACGATTCATCAAAATTTGACATATCTATTAACATATTTATAACGAATCTATTTTTATCCGATCATTAACTATGTTCTTGCCTTTCTCCTCCTTACAGATGCAATAAAATCTAGAGAACCTTATAGTTGATACATCCATTATTGATGACCATGCAGGATATACGCCTACGCCTGGAACCGCAGCACAGTACAGTCACGTTTATATCCTCCGCCTCCTCCACCGCCTCGTCCTCGTCCTCCTCCCAGACAGCTGAGACCACGCTGATTGAGACAGCTGAGAAGTCGCTAGCCAGGTGAGGAAAAAAGCTACCCCTTAATCTCCATCTCCATCCCCATCTTCCTCTGAAGTTGCCACCCTCGTAATCCTTGGGCTCATTTGTTAACCGCAGTGAAGCAGGTGCTGGAACAGTGACAACGACATCGCCGCAGCATTACTTCCATCATCATCATCCGCCGGCACATCCGCATCCGCAGCCCCAACCCCGCCAGCAGCAGCATCCGCATAGCCACTCGCATCCGCATCCGCATTCGCACCTCCAACGGCGGCCGGTGGAGCAGTTGCAACTGCTGCACAGCCACCACGATGTTCAGGAGCCAGCCGAACAGGAGCATCCGCATCATCCGCACCAGCATCCGCACTCCAGCTCGCCGGCAAATCCGCATCCGCACCATCTGCGCTCGCCAAGCTCCGAGGAGGATAATTCGCCCACTGAAATGAATAATTGCCGTCGTTTGGTTGATAAACCGCCGCTGGTAAGTCCTGCTGAGGATCACTGTTAAAAATAAATAAGAATTATTAATTATTTTCTGAAAATAAAAATAGATGAGAAGTAGAAATTACAGATGGAGCTATCCTTTTATTTTTATATACTTCTAGAATTATTTCACGCTCATTCAAAAAACAATTTAAAGAGTGAACCGTTTTGGTTAGAGTTTATATTTCTAATTTATAATTCATATTTTTTATGAAGGCTGAAGATTAAACTCAGCAGCCGCCGTTTTCCATAGTGAGCTCTTTTCCCCATCCACTCTTTAGCATTTCTGCTACTTAATATTAACTATTAGCCAAGGTATTGAAAAGGCAGATGAAAATTGCGGAGTCAGTCGGGGGAGCAATCATTTTTGCTTTGTTGCCAGGTTGCTTTGTAGCCTACTATATTTCTCATTGCTGGCAAATTACTTTGCACAGAGCATAAATCTGCTTACGCTGATGATTTGCCAGGAAACGAGGGAGGAGAAAAGGAAAGGAATTACCTATTGGAGCATCGGCTTGGGATGCACTTAATGCCAAAGAAATGCCAAGGAGCGGTAAAAAAGGAAAACTTCAAATCGAAACAACATCAACGAAATTCGTGGAAATGGGAAAATTGCAAAAACGAGTGGAAATCCTTTGGCTTGGGATTAAGTGTAACTCAGAAATGCACTTGATGTTTTCAAACTCAGGCTGTCATTCAACATTTTAGATTTTAAATATATATTGCGTTTATTCTAAATCACTTGATTTAAATTGCACTGCTTGAACCGAATTTAAAAGCAATTGCAACTGGAGTACGTACTTCAGGTGGAAAGTGTTTTTGCCACTAAACCTGAAGCCGAAAAAGAGTTCATTAAATTAATTTGCACAAATGCAAATTTGCGAGTAACGGCACTTTGGCACGCGCCACTAACAAAGGTGCACTAACTGAACACAACTAAAATGGAGCCGAAATGGGAGCACACTGAAAGAAATTTAACAAAGATAACAATAAGAAATAAATGATTACACATAACACATATTAGAATAAGTTTTTATTTATGATAAAATGATGAGCGATAATTTTATAAAATATTTTATAAAAAAGCTTGATAAATATTTGTACATAAAAAAGAGATTCAATGATTTCTTAAAGTCAAATATTAACACTTCAGCTTTTTTAGTTTCCCTTTTGTACCTTACAATGTCATTAAATTTAACCGAAACTTGATTGCCATCCATAATCCTTAGGTGAACATAGTTAGCTGAACTAACTAATTACATTCTTCCGTTGACAGCAACTCGAGTAAAATCCCCGTTATCATTTATAACTTGCACCTTAAAAAGTTTCATGGCAAAGCGCTAAACGCTTCCCATTTTCCTTTAGTGCAGTTTGAAGTTGGCAAATAGGAGTCCCTTGTACTTCGTTCTTATTCTTACTTTGGAACAATGCAGGATGCCTGGCAAATGGCAGGCAAATGCCGTTAACTTACTGACTTTATGACACATAAATCGCAGCAACAGCGCCAAATGCATCCGACAGCCAGTTGCCGTTGTCACGTGTTTTTAGGCCTAGGGAATGGAATCCTTGCGAAAAGGACAATGGGAAAACTTTTCTCTGGCGCCGCCTGAAAGTAGGCAACGTGAAAAGTTTTCGCACAGATAACAAGGCAAGGGAAATGCCGAGAAAATCAAAATGGCAGCAGCAGGATGAGAAGAACTGCTGCTGTGAATTCTGCTTAGACACGTCTATTGTGCCATTGTCTGTGGGAAAATACCTTGGAAAATCCCACTCCTTGGGCGCATTCTTTATCGTTGGGACTTGTCTGGCAGTCCGGACCGAGTTGCATAATGCGTGGGTCCCTTCCGATGCCATTAGCATAATGGGGGCATTAGGTTGGCACGAAGCTCTGATTGCATACTTAACGACAGCCAAGTGCTGCCAATGCGCCAATTTAATTAGCTGCAATTGAAAAACGCCCCTGGAATCGATGGGATCCTCTGGCAGTTGAACGCGAATTTGGGGCAAGTAAATCGCCTTTCATCTCCATTAAATCAACATAATTATCGCAAATTACGAGGAAATAACCAAGTCCAATTTACGCTCCAACTGCTAATTACACAACGCAATGGAAAACAATTTAAGCCGCAGAAGGAAAACCCAAACCCAAAGGCGAGTATCAGCCAGAGTCGGAAACTTTCGAATTTAGGATCCAACTCATTTCAAAGTAATTTCGCCGCAAAAGCCAACGGCTGCTGGGTGGGCGTGGCCAACACTGTTTAACATTTTATTGGTAACCAAAAATTTTACACATCAATCTCGGTTGTTGTTTCTGTGTGGCAAGGGGAGAAAAGTGCTAAAATCCGAAGTGGGAGGCACGTTGTTGCGGCTTCGGTTGTGAGAGCTAAAGTGTGTTTGATGTTTGTTGGACTTTACCCGGGGGGTGGGGATCATCTGGGGGGGGAGGTATTGAGCAAGGAGAAGGAGTCGGGGTCACAAATCCCTGAACGACTGCACCTGCCCCGATAATACTGGTCAGACAACAGTAGTCCCGAATTCGCCATTATAGCAATGCAAAAACTTTTGCCAAATTGGCAGACAACATGCAACATGCAAAATGTACGACTTAGCAGTTGGCACACTGAAAAGAACGCTCATTAATTGGGCTGTCCTTACAAATAATTTCAAATAAAAATAAATAAAATACCCTAAAAAAAAATATATGTACCACTGACATGCACTTATACAATATAATTATTCTTTGATACCAATTCTGTTATCTTCACAACTTATGTTTTGTACTAAAATTGGAAGCAATATATCAATTTTTTATTTCAAGCGTCTCAAATTCGTATATATTTTTGCTTTAAAAACTTCCTTACTATAAAATGTTTCTCTCTGTGCATTGCAATCCGTTTCACAGGTGAAGCGGCTGACGATGGGCATTGGCCTGCTGCGGGGAACCGAGGACAGCCGTCCCCTGGTGCACAGCACCTGCGGCTCCTCCCTGACCTCCGGATCCGGGTGCGGGTCCACCCAGACCATCTCCGACGGCTATGTGAACGAGGCCATCTGCGAGCCGGACAAGTACGTGGCCAGCAAGTTCGGCGACTCCTGCCGCCAGTCGCTCTCCGCACTGGAAAGTGCCACCCAGCGGTTGCAGGTGGAGCTGCCCGCCAGCAACAAAAAGTATCTGCGGGAGACGTGCAGCGGTAGGTGGTTTTAAGCATTTAAAAAACACTACCTCAGCTTTCAAAATTCAAAGAAATTAAATTGAGATTAATATTGTGTTGCAGCCAACTCCAGTCCGAAATTGTTTCCTGCCCACGGCTCCCTGCGTCTGGATAATCTCAGCCTTTCGGAGCAGCAGGAGCTGAAGGGGGCTGCCTGGTTCCAGGCGGGGATTCCCCGGGAAATATCCCTCGAGGTCTTATCGCGCCAGAGCCCGGGTGCATTTCTAGTGCGTCAGAGCAGCACAAAGCCGGGCTGTTTCGCCCTCTCCCTTCGCGTTCCGCCGCCATCGCCACGGGTGGCCCATTATCTGATCCTCCGGACGCAAAGGGGATACAAAATTAAGGTACAAAATATATACATTTTGCTGACAAATTTAACCATTAAGTAATCAGTTTTGCATAAAAAGAGGGTTATTGTTTACAAAATGTACAAAATAATAAAACTGCATAAAAATAAATAAAATACATAAAACAAAACAACATAAGGTAATGGCATTCACTGCAATAGGATCTTTAGAATCGTAGTTTAATTTTTTTTCGAGATTCCTTCATTCTACTTTAATCATTAATATATTTTTTCCTTTTTTTTAACTAGAATCTTAGTTAAATTTATTTTCTAGATTCCGTTTTTCCACTTTAATCATTAATATATATATTTCTTCACCCGTTTTAGGGTTTCACCAAGGAGTTCAGCTCGTTGAAGGCGCTCATCACGCACCATTCGGTGATGCCGGAACTTCTGCCCGTACCGCTGACCCTGCCACGCCCCCCGAACGCCCGATCCCAGCGATCGCAGGCGGCCTACGGGGGCGGGGGAAGTGGGAACGGGGGAGCGGACTTCGAGATGTACGGCTCGCTCAACGATTTTCGCAAAATGATGGCCGATTTGAATGTGTGACCGCTGGGCGCACTTAATTAATTAAGTAATTATGTCACGTTGATTGAATTAAGCTGCCCGCCCGGCTTGTCACATTGTCCGGGTCGAGACGGGATAACAATCTGTTTAATTTGCGTAATTGGCTGTGCTGACGACGGTTGACGTGGCTACCGACAAATAGGGTCCATGTCCATGTCCCATGTCCACATCCATGTGTACTCCGCCAGACTCTGGGCCCACCTGTCCATCCGTCTGGCCGTCTATCTGTCCTTTCGTTCGTCCGTCTGTCCGCCAGGTGCCACAAAGAGTGCACAAATTTTTATTAAAATTGATAATAAAATCAGCTACGTGGGCGCCGGCTGCGGTTGCAAAGGGGGCGGGGCCAACCATTGAGTGAGCTCAAATCATTTTTGCGAAACTGATTAAAAAAGTGCAAAAACATGCAATATGTATACGCAAACAGACATCAAGTGATTATTATTTTTCGCGTTTTTATCATTTTTGTGCGTTTCTGGATGCTTTTTGCTGAGTGGCAGGTGCAGCAGACAGAAATCCGAATGGGGCACTCGGATTAAATGTTAATGTTTGGATGGATGGCTGGTAAATCGAGGGGCGGCGGAAGGGGTTTGGAGCCCTGCATCGGGATGGGTACAATGGACTCTTTTTGCGGTGCATTTGATGCACTCGTCAGGCGGAGGACTAGCTAGATAGACTTATATAATAACTAAATAATATACCAATTACATATACTGTAACTCTATGTATTTTGTGTAATAAAACATATGAAAAGTTAATGCTTAAGCTGTGGTTTCATTAAAGTCGATAATTAAACTTTTTTTTTTGTTTAACTAACATTTTTTTCAAAGGTCAGTTATTTGTGGTTTGGTTCAAACCTTTTTGAAATTCCCGCAAAAGTGTAAAATATTCGTTGTTTGCTTATTTTTTACGGGTAATTGACGGTTTATATGTAAAGTGTCGGAGTAAATGCGCCCTCCAGTGGACAAAAAAGAACGCCAAATCAAGTTGGTTCAGATTTTGCCCGTTTACGTGCGGTGGCGCTCTCAAACAAAGTCGATTATTCGATATGCGATATTTTGGTCAAGAAAAATATTGCGATAAATATTTGCATTTTAAAAATATCATAAAAATAAAAATTTCCACCCCAAGGCCAGCTGCCGCTTCCCGCGCATTTTCTCAGCCCAGGTAACTCGAAATCAGTTTGGATTGCCTTCGGGGTTTTTACTCGTCTCAAAACCTCCGTAGCAACACCATCCAGACAACGTGGAACTCCCGCAGAACCAGAGACCGGCAATATTTCCATTGTGAGTGGAAGAAGTCGCGGCATCGTCGGCGTCCCTAACCTTATATATATAAATTACATACACATTTTGCCTCCCAGTTTCGGTAAACAAAAATTGTGCAAATCCAAGTTAAAATGCCGCGCAGAAAGGTCCTCACGAACAACAACAATGACGGCGAGTCGCAGGATCAGCCGCCGAAGGCTAAACGCGCCAGGATCGTCTTTCATCTGGAGCTGCCCAAGCGTCGGACCATTGTGGGTAACGTGCTGGTCTGCGGCAATGGAGATGTGGGCCAACTTGGTCTCGGTGAGGATATCCTGGAGCGCAAGCGACTCAGCCCCGTGGCGGGAATCCCAGATCCAGTGGACATCTGTGCGGGAGGCATGCACAATCTGGTTCTAACCAAAACGGGTGACATCTACTCTTTTGGGTGCAACGATGAGGGCGCTCTGGGTCGCGACACCAGCGAGGATGGCAGCGAGGCCAAACCAGGAATCATCGAGCTGCCCGGCAAGGCTCTGTGCATTTCGGCGGGAGATTCCCACTCCGCTTGTCTGCTGGAGGATGGACGCGTCTTTGCCTGGGGCTCCTTCCGGGACTCGCATGGCAACATGGGCCTCACCATTGACGGTAACAAGCGTACGCCCATCGACCTGATGGAGGGCACCGTCTGCTGCAGCATCGCCTCTGGCGCCGATCACCTGGTCATCCTGACCACCGCTGGAAAAGTGTTCACAGTGGGCTGTGCCGAACAGGGTCAGCTGGGCCGGCTTTCGGAACGCTCCATCTCCGGAGAGGGTAAGTCCTGCTCTACATTTACTCTACAAAATCTAAAGCAATCCCGTTTTATTTGTAGGTCGTCGTGGCAAGCGCGACTTGCTGCGGCCCACCCAGCTCATCATCACGCGGGCCAAACCCTTCGAGGCCATCTGGGCCACCAACTACTGCACATTCATGCGCGAATCGCAGACGCAGGTCACCTGGGCCACCGGGCTGAACAACTTTAAGCAGCTGTCTCACGAGACGAAGGGCAGGGAGTTCGCAGTGGTGCCCATCAGGACAGAGCTCAAGGATGTCCGACAGATTGTCGGCGGTCAGCATCACACCCTTGTCCTGTCCACGGACCTCAAGTGCTCGGTGGTCGGTCGTCCGGAATACGGTCGTCTGGGTCTGGGCGATGTCAAGGATGTCGTGGAGAAGCCAACGCTTGTAAAGAAGCTGACCGACAAGATTGAGGCCGTCGGCTGCGGCGAGGTCTGTTCCTATGCCATTTCTGAGGATGGCAAACTGTATTCCTGGGGCTCCGGCGTCAACAACCAACTGGGCGTCGGCGATGGCGACGATGAGCTCGAGCCCGTCGTGGTTATCAGCAAGAACACGCAGAACAAAAAGATGCTGCTCGCATGCGGCGGTGGTCAGCATGCCATCTTCCTGGCCGAGGCGGACAAGCAAGAGCAGAAGGAGAACATACCGGACAAATCGAGCACCAGCGGCAATAAAAAGGACAAGACGCCACCGGAGAATGATGCCGATAAGGAGCCTGCTCCGGGTTCCCCTCCCAAGAAGGCGAAGTCTGCAGCCAGCAGCACCAGTAAAAAGGAAAAGGCATCGCCGCAGAACGAGGTCGTCGAAGAGCCCAAAAAGGAGCCGTCTCCTTCGCCCAAAAAGGCTGGGAAGGCCAAGAAGCCAGCTGCCAAGCGAGGCGCAAAAAAGACATAGGATTAACAACAAAACGCTGACTTTCCCATTTTGTTTTCGGTCGCATTTAGTTACAAAACCCTTACGCTTACCTTATGGTTAAGGAATTTTTGCTCATTGTTCAGATTCGTAAGATAATTCGAAAGTTTTTCTTGTATATGCTAAGATTTACGAACTGAATCCTGTTAAGTTCTTATTATTTGATAAATAGATGTCCGCTCATATCTTACTAGTCTGTCTGACGATGAAAACTCCTTTATAACTCCTTTATCTAAATCTTTATTAATTCACACTCGTTTAAAATACGAAACCGTAGTAAATTTGTATTTAAACGCAAAATGAAACTGAGATTTATTTACAAACTAATCAACTTTAATCCGACATAATGCTATCGGGTATTTGTTTATATAAATTACAAAAGACATATCCTGTTCACAGTGTACTATAAATTCTTGGCTCAGGAGGGGGTTCCTAAAATTAGGGATGACCGACAAATATCCGCAAGGGTTTTTGGGCAATAAACGTGGGACACCATTTACTCAAAACTCGATTAATATCAAGAAACACGAAACTGTTACTCTTAGCGTAGATCTAAAAGATATATAAATATGAATACGTTAGGGGTGGCTCGATTTGCAAAAGAGGAACAAAAAATGCAAGCAAAGGAATCTGTGTACAATTCAGAGAAACTAATGTCATATTTGACCCTTCAAACTTTAGCAAACGAATCGCCAGGCAGTTATGTGCAAACCAATGAAGTACATCTAAGGGTTTAAATATTTTTCGATGCGACTTGCAATGTTATATATCTGGCAAGGGTCAAACTGGTACAAATTGCTATTTCTGGTAAACAAACAGAGGTAAGGATTTTGGCTTGACTACGAGTAGTAACACGGCTGACGATTGCCTCTGCCCGAATCGACGGCGGCTAGGGAGGTGGTGATGCTGGTGGTGGTTGAGGTGGAATTGCCGCCGTAGTTGCTGCCCAGGTAGAAGCTCATGAAAAGGATGCCGCACAGCAACGACAGCGAAAGGACGACGCGCACCAGCTTCCTTGCGAAGGCGATGAGTCCCAGCAGATGGCCGCCGGCAGCCACTCCGCCCAGCTGCCGATCGCCGTCGATGCCTTGACAGCTGCGACACAGCTGCAAATACGTCTGGATGAGGATCTCCAGGCACTCGCCATCGAACGGGTCCAGCGTATCTGCGCACTCCAGACCCAAATCCATCAAATCAAAAGCACAAGCGCAGTTCTCTAGTTCGCGGCAGTCGTCGTGGCAATCGTAGTCGTTATTATTGTGGATATTGCGAGCGGCATCGTCAAGCTCCTGCCTGGTCAGATTACACGGTGAAAGTAAATATTATTTGCGCTTGCCGCACGAGTACGCCGTCGACTTGGCACAAGTGCCGGTGTGGTGGCCCATCTGCTGGTACATCAGAAATCCGAATCCCGCGAACAGCAGCAAAAGCAGCGCCAGCGTAACGTATTGCAGGTTCTGGGTGAACGCCAACTGGCGTTCCATCATCGATACTGGGTCTTGTGCCTTTAAAAAGAAATGTTAACATGTGCTTTAAATATTTCTGACTTAAAACTCACAGTAGCCGACTTCTTGCAGTTTACACTGGCTTTACTAGCTTTGTTCCCACAATCGGGTTCCGATTTGCATTTGCTTTCTTCAATGCGACAGACCAGTCGATGCTGCTCCACGTCCCCCGCCGAGGGGGATTTGCTCCGCCACAGCTCGGCCACATCGCAGCTGCCGCACTCCGAGTCGGGCGCCACCATGGCCATCACCAGGAACTTATCCTTGCTCTCGCCACTGAGCTGGTGCTCTGGTTTCAGCCATATGTTAATGCTTTCCTGCTGGTTGGGCTGGATTAACCCGCAGCGTGGTCGCACACGGAACTTTTCCGGCGAAGTCGTTTGGATCTGCAAAGATAAAACCGTGTTATTCCAGAACTATACAATACCTATATGATTAACTTACCTTGTAGGTCACAACCGACTCCGCAATCGACTTGAGGTTCAGCGTGGCCATCGCATTCTTGGAGCTAAAGTTGACAAACTCCTTCGGACAAACTTGCAACATGCCTGACAAAGAATAGAAGTGCAATGGCACCCTCGTGGTATTAAAAGGGGCGTTAACAATATATTTTAAATTTTGGTGGGGACCAAAAAATTTAGGTTTAAATAGAATAGCGAACTAAAATAATGCGACCTGCTACGATATATTTTTGTGACATTATGAGCAATGTTGGTTAATATGAGGGGGATCTTGTAAAGTTTAAAGTCTGGTTTGGAAATACGCTAATACTGTATATTAAAAAACTAGATAAATGTGAGAAAATCTTAAGAGTGATTGTTATACAATATTTGTTTTTAAAGGGGTTTTTCTTACCCTCGGATGGAGTGTGCATCTCGTTGATGTTCGACTCCTTGAGCACAACAGGAGCTGTGTTGGCAAATGTGACCTGTCGATTAAAGAGAACTTATTGAAATGACCGTCTTTTATGGTGAGTGGAATGGTTTGGCGGCGCCCCCATAATCAGCCCCTTTTGGAACGTGCTTTTATGTGTCATTTTCACAAGGGGCGGCCCACTATTCTTGGCACCCTTGAGCTGGCATTATTGGCGAAGGTTCCACTTGTACCGGAGGTCGCCTGTGAATTGGTTTCAGTTGGTTTTCAGTCGGATGAGGGGTGTTTATATGCGGGTCGTCTATATCTATTGAGCTTTGCAACTACGATTTTTATCTGGCTGTTTTATCTGTCCTCCGGGTGCAGCCTCCAACTCACGTAATTGAAACGGCTGGCCTCAGACATTGGTCTCATGCGCCAGTTGCCACTCAGAGTAATTATCCGCTTTCTTCACTAAGCCTTTAAACATATAACTTAAGTCGGACTTTAAGATTGCTCTTTTAATTAATTTGCAGACACCATAATAAAAAAACAGCTGGCAACCCTGAAGCGGTGGATTTACAAGCTTCGCTTTAGGGGATTATCAACACGCGTTAGCGTGTTATATTTTGAACAATATTTAACGTTATTTTTAATTTTATTTCTAAAGCTTAAGTTGAGAACCTTGCCATGGATCGGTATGGCGGCATAAGATCAAATTTAAATTCGCACATTTTTTTAATACACTTAAAAACATAAATCTTGCTTCTTAAGCCCGACTTGATTGATGGAACCATTTACTGGTTCATTTTACTGAATTCGGTTCAGCTGACAGAAATTTAAAATAATGAATTCCTTTTGTTGATTTAAACTGAATAAACAACAGTTGTCTTTTCGTACAAAAGCAAATTTGCAGGGTTAAATAAATGTCTTGAATAGCAAAACAATTCGATCCATTGCGAGTTTGTTGTTCTTTTGTTTAGGCTTCCACGTAACGCACACATGATCACGATGACAAACAGTCAGCTTTCGATATGTTTACATGTAATTAACCGGATGAAGTCCGCTCCACCACTGAGTACATCGAATTTTGAAGGTTTATAAATGATTTATTGATTCTTAAAGGACTGACACAGATTTCTTGAGAACAATGTAATGAATATGAACACTTAGCGAGAGGTCACCGTACATTAAACACGTACGCACACACCTACCCTTGGCATTTTGTTCGAAGAATGAATATCAATTGGTACAAAAACAATAACAATGCAGCTTCCGCTCCTCCGATTTCTCTTCTTTTCCTTTGTTTGGGCGCTTGTTTGTTAATAACAATTAAAGATTGCACATTTCCATAATAATAACACAAATATCGAAACAATTGAACGTAATATGAGGTTGCTTTATGGGTTTTTGTGACTAGTTCGCGCAAATGAGAAAAAACAACTGAATGAAAAGCACATCCAATAAGAAATGCCAAGAGCTTTCGGCCAGAGCTTTCGCCTCTCTCTCTCTCGCTCTCTCTCGATCAGCTTCTCCCAGCTGTTGTTGTTGCTGCTGCTCCCGCTTGCCGCAAAATGAACTCAAACTGTAAATGAAAGTGCCGTTGCAAATGAGAGAGTGCATTAAACGATGACGTAGTGGGAGGGTGTGGGAGTGTGTGGGCGTGAGTGTGTTGTTGAGTGGGTGTGACTGAAATGCCGGATAATATTCGCTCTGGGAATCACATACACATATGTACGAGACACACATAATCATGCTATAATCCCTGTTACAATGTGTGTTCTACTTTTTTCGGGTCAATGCTTTGGGGCCTCGGAACTGACCAACCGCTAACCAAAGTGACCCCAAGCCAGAAACAGAAAGTTTAGCAATATGTCAAATAAAGGACTATAAATAGCAATGGGTGAAATGAGCAGCTACACTGAGAATAGAAAGAACAGTATTTGAAAGATATCTACAAATTGAAATTTAAAAATTATAATAGTTTGCTAATTTCCATAAACCCTAGTACATATGTTAGAAAAACAAGATGAATAAAATTTATAGCAAAATATTAATTACGACTTGAATATTTTACTATACACAAGAAACTTACAGAAGATAATATAATAATATAATACTAATCAACTTGGGTACATATTTCTTTAACTAATAAAATTCTCTCAGTGCTCTGGGACCGAACCTCGCTGAGGTAAGCTTAGTGGTCAGTTGGGGACAGCCAAAGGCGACTCACGCAGGACACGCAAGCAGCGCACCCTAAATCAATACGTCCCAAGAATGTGAATCAATTATGGAGAGAGTTGGTTCGCGTGCGGTTTGGGAAAAAAGCAATTAGGCGACCCATGAACCTCCCTCGCTTCCGGGTGCAGTCGTGTCATAGGGAACACACCCCACTCTCGAGATTTAGTCTGTTTTATGTTGGTGTCCTCGTACCAGTATATAACTTGTTTCCAACCCAGTAACTCACCTTCTTATCCGCGAACTGCTCATCATCGCCGGCACTTGCGGCCACCGGTTTGGATGAAACCTGTTTTGGCTCCGGCACGAAGCTAAATTCGTAGTTATCCTCGCCACCCCAGCTGGCCAGGCATTTGTCCTTGCTTATGTACTGACTGATGTCCTTTTTCGATATCATTTTCAAAATCTCAACCGCTTTGGGTGGCAGCAGGGCCTTAATGACCTTAAAGGCAGCTAAAAAGGAGAATAGGGACGATGTCATGGTCACGGTTAATGTTTTGGAAAAGTTCAAAGGTGAATGTAAATAGGCAACTGTCTAATCGTAATCGAAATCGATAAGTGGTAAATACAAGTGGGAGGTACCTTTGTTTTTTTGCTTGAACCAATTAGGAATTACAAATACTTTTAATAGAAGCAATTCATTAAACTTAATACTCGATTAATTCAGTACTTACCATTAAGTACCCAAGCAAGCTCATAAACCAAAATGTAATTCAGGGTATTGGGATAGTACTGCTTGAAAGTCTCCACAATCCGCTTGACAAAATCCAGATCCATGGTGGCCAATCCCGTGCCGGACATGTCGAAGAATATGGTCAACTGGATCAAGTGCCGCTCCCTCTGGGTTCTCTCCACCCAGTAAACTACGATGCGGATCAGCTCGTCCAGATTCTTGGACTTACTATGCAGTTTCACGCGGAATATCAACAGAGGCTTTCCATCCACATCAGTGCTGTGGACAAAAATCGAACCTTCCTTTAGGTATTCCTGGTTCAGCTGGCTTTCGTCAAGATCATTAGCCCCATAAGATTGGCGCCAAACGCAGGTCTCCCACAATTTTGCGAAGGATGCATCCATGTCGAGATCGTGCATTTCCAGGAATCTCTGAAGCCAAAGATGATCGTTGCGAATGCGATCAATATCAGTTGGATGGAAGGGCGCTGACATCGGATAATAAAAAATAAATAAATAAACCCAAAGATTATTAGAATCTTATCGGTGTTTATACAAGCGATTAGGTCCCTGAGCAACTATAATGTTTAGATTATAAATTCCACTCGCTTGGAGTTACAGTAGATTTCTTGACACTTAGCTGTACTCTTAAAACTTTTATTTCATACCAAAGAGTATTCAACTACACAAGTTTATTTCTAATCTATGTTTACTTAAGAGGTGACAGAATTTGAATATGGAATGATAACGAGTTGATAACAACATAGGGTTGGTTGGTTTATGGGAGTGTGTTCTACTTTTTATTAGAAGAAACGTATTTAGATTGCAAAATACTAGTACCTATAATTTATTTCCCATTATCTGAACCTGAACCCTTATTTATCGCGTACACTTTGGCCTCGGGTACTTAACCTTTTGCCACTGATAACCAGCTATACGGAAGTCCATATACTATACGCGATTTCTAAATATAGGTATCTCCAGGTGGCTATAGCTTCGGTCTCAAGTTCAAAGCTTTCGTTTGAGTGCACTTGGGGCAACTTAACTGTTTAGCTAGGCAGGGCTGTTTAATTTATTCATTGACTAATCGGAGAATTTGCACTACAAACAAATTAAACCGAGTGAATCATATTAGCACACTATTAACAGAACACGGCTATATTTACCAGTAATTATCGAATATAAAGTCGTCAACTATTGGAATATACTATATGTGATCATAAAACGAAGCACTCTGAACATTTTCAGCTGAACGTTGCACTTTGTAGCCGTCGTGCGATTTGAATTATCTCACCTGCTGGCGGTGAAGAGGCATATTTGCTGTTGAACCTTTCGCGCAGCTCAGCGATTTGTTCGGGAGTCGTCTCCTTCACCTTGATGCCCATTTTGACAGCTAGTTCACGCACTCGTAACCAATCGAGACTGTCGAAAGACTGAGCATTGAAGTGCGATTCCGTTCGAAGGGCGCCTATCGCTCCAATCCTAATCAGAAATCCACTTTCACTGCGATTAGATTTGAGCCACAAATCAATCGAAAGCCAGGTGAAGGTACAACCGGTAGAACAGCGGGAATTAGCGAGCTGTCCAAGTGCGTTCCACGAGCGTGAGCGGCTAACTGAACAATCGGCTAACGGTGTCGACGCAGCGGCTATCCACGATCGGAGTATATACGTAGATATATAATATATCGCCACGATCGTTGGCAGTCGGCTGGCGTGCGGGATCGAATGTGGAGCACCTGGTACTCGGCGGCGCTATAATGGGCCTCCCAAAAGGGCAGCCCAACCACCCACTTCTGCAATGGAACGTGATCGTGTGGGCGGTGGGTATGCCACCGGAATTACAATTAACTTGGGGGTAAATAACTTGAGTGGAAGTGCTACCGAAAGCTTCCAAAGCTCTCTTGTGAAGTACTCAAGTGAAACGGCAGATTCCGGTAATAAATATCGTATTATTTACACTAATTTACAAAATTTGTAGCAAGCTTTAGGCAAATTTATAAACATAGTCGTCGTTACCGCCCCAGATTTTCAGGCAGTTGTCCTTGTCCACATACTGATCGATGTCCTTCTTGGTGGTCACCTTAAGGATTTTCAGAGCTTCGGCGGGCAGGAAGGTCTTCACGATTTTAAAAGCAGCTAAAAATGGGAGATTATTTAATTAGCATAGAGTTTATTAAAAATAAACCCAAGTTCATACCATTTAAAAGGAATGGCAACTCATGCACCAGTATATAGTTCGGTACATAGGGATATCTGGTCTCGAACACGCCCACAATTGTCTTGATGAAGTCCAGATCCAAGTTACTCAGTCCAGAGCCAGTCATGTCCATGAAAAGGGTGATCTTGTCCAAGTTGGAGTCGCGCTGCAATCGCTCAATCCAGAAAACCAGGATTCGCAGGAGGTCCTCCTGATTGCGACTCTTCGAGTGCATTTTAATGGTGAGGATCAGCAGGGGTTTTCCATCCTTATCCTTGTTGTGCACAAAGATGGAGCCATCGTTGAGGTATTCCTGATTTAGGTTCGTCTCGTTGATATCGTATACCCCGAAGCTCTGACGCCAAGTAAGGTTTTCCCACAATCTGGTGATGCATTTCTCCACATCGAATTCATAAACCTGCAGAAGTTTCGTGATCCAGAGGTCACTGTCGTTAATCCTCTTCAGATCGGTGGGATGGAATGGTTCTGTTTCCGGAGTTTATAAATAAATTAGATAAGATTGTAGTTATTTTTGCTATAGCTTACCAGCTGGTGGCTCCTTCTCCAGTTTCTCGAGAATGCTACTCCTGACTTGGCCAATCTGATAGGCAGTGGGTTCCGCATCGGAAGGCATGTTGCTGCTTGGATTTACTTCGACCAACTGAAATATCCCCTGCAGGGGGCTTTAAATTTATATCAATCTATATTTCTTATCTCCCCCTTTAGAGTTTCAGGAGGAACTGTTCTTAATCTGGGAACGTGATGACTGGCCGGTGAGCGGGCTAGTCAACGACTGACAGCCAAACGCTCAGCGTTCCGCTCGCCGAGAGCGTTTTACTTGTTCTCCAATTGTGCTCTGTATTCCAGACGATCATGTAAATGAGTCAATGCGGGTGGGGAAAGGGCACAGCCAACCGCACTGCCGCCCGTTCTTTAATCAATATAAAAGAAAAGCAAAAACACATTAGCCGGGGGGCAATGAGGGGGCCTCAGTCAATTGCGATAAGCGGAACAAACTGGGGAACTGGAAATGTTTATGGTTTGTGCGGGTGAGTCTTCGGGAACTCGATTTTTATGCCTCTGGCTGTGGTTTTCTTGGCGATATCTATGACGTTTCCACTCTATATACATACATTCAGGTATCTTTGCAAAGGAGGAATGGAAATTCCAGGTGGTTGGCCTTGATTCGATTAAGCAGACTAAGTCTACTGAGCTCATTTATTCCCCTTTAATCCCACAATCGTTGATTGCGGTGGCTGTAATAGATACCTTATAGGCCATTATAACAGTAATATACTTGAGTTCCTAACAAGATGAACTTATCAAAAACATTCTTGAAAGTATATAAGTTCAGAAATAGCACACAATCAATCTAATCAAACTTATGAACGAAATTAGCTGGGGTTTTTTTTATTGACCTGATAGAGGGATTAAGGGGGGTCTATGCAATTTTTATTATCATCGTTACAAGTTGATATTTTCTTGATTTTATTTTTTTTTTCTAATAATTAGTTATCAGTATAAAAGTATGACTCAATTCGAATTTATTTTTCTGTATTTGATATGATAGGAAGTTCAAAGGTGTTCTATTGATATATTTCAACGGGTTCCCAGCAGTTACTAATTATTAGTTAACTAGCGTTAATTATTGCGTTAACCAGCTGGAATCGAAACAAATCTGGGAAATGTTTATATTGTATTTGTGTATAAAGTAGAAATAAACAGCCGGTTCATCGCGCCAAGTTCATACATTTTAATTGATCAGAAAACTTTATGAATAAGATAATTCAATAAAATCTAATCAATGTTTGAACTGAATATGTGTTGCGCGTTTGTTATTGTTGATATTGAAAACAAAACCGAAGCATTTACATATCGAAAGCTCTATAATTCGTCGCCCCCCGAAAACCCCGCGCCATTTGGACCATCTGACATCCCAGAACTTTTCTGGCCCAGTTGTGATGTTTACGTGAAAACGTGCGTTTGGAGCGACCACGTCCTCTCGCCGATTCTCCAAATGCGGATGCAGTGCAGCCAGTTGTGAGATCTCCCCCGAAAAAAAATCCCCGAGATGAAGTTCGCCGAGCATCTGACCGCTCATATAACGCCCGAGTGGCGGAAGCAGTACATTAACTACGAGGTGAGTGCCGCAAATTGTCGATTCAAGGTGCGGAAAAATCTGTATCCGTGTAGATACAGATACACGGACGAGTGTGCTTTTCCGCGCTGTCACTTTGCCAGCTGTGACGTCACGTGCCCCATCAGCTGTCCGCGGCAACTGTCAAATGGCGGAGCTTTCAACGCGCATGCGCCCTGTTGGACCGCCTTTTCTGTTTTGCTCTCCTCGGACGTAAACAAATCGGAGGAGAGGATGGGGCGGTGAAGGAAAAGGGTGGGAAAACGAAAGCCAAAATGAAAAGGGAATGTACAATTACAGTGGGGACCAGATTAAAGGAACAGGAAATTTTAAGAGGTCTTTTGTTTTAAGAATAATGGATTTTGATCTTAATCTTTGTAGAACAATTTTATTTCTTCTAAAAAAAATTAACACAAACCACTTTAAATATGTATTTTCAATTTATATTAAATATTTACATATTTTACGAATAAGAAATTTAGGATTTATTAAAATTCAAATAATACTCAATCATTTTGATTAAATCCCTTTATCTATAATTATATTATAATTATATTATAATTATATTATAATTAATTTATAAATAACTATAAATATTTTCATTTATTTATTTCAGGAGATGAAGGCCATGCTGTACGCAGCCATCGAACAGTCTCCGTCCGCCGAGCTCGTTGAGCGGGAGATGGTGACGCGGTACTTCGCCAAGTTCGATGAGGAGTTCTTCCACTACTGCGACAAGGAGCTGGCCAAGATCAACACATTCTACTCGGAGAAGATGGCCGAGGCGACCCGCAAATATGGCAGTCTGCGAAGCGAACTAACCGAGGCCCTGGAGATGGGGCATCCGAAGAAGCTGCCCGCCTGGAAGAGGCGAACGCCGCTGGGCAAGAAGAATGTGCCGGCGCGCAAGATACAGGATCTCAAGTTGGCATTTAGTGAATTTTACCTGGGGCTGATACTGCTCCAGAACTATCAGAACCTCAACTTCACGGGTTTCCGTAAGATACTTAAGAAACACGACAAGCTGCTCAGTGTGGACTACGGAGCACGTTGGCGAATGGATCACGTGGAGGCGGCTCACTTTTACACCAACAAGGACATCGATCGGCTGATCCAGGAAACGGAGCAGGCCGTCACGCAGGACATCGAAGGAGGTGATCGACAGAGGGCCATGAAGCGATTGAGGGTTCCGCCGCTGGGTGAGCAGCAGAGTCCTTGGACCACCTTCAAAGTGGGTCTCTTCTCCGGCGCCTTTGTTGTCCTTTTCATAACGGTTGTGATTGCGGCCATGTTCTACGGATTTGGCGAGAATTGGCGGGCCGGAATGCGGATGTTCCGAGCTCCCTTCCTCATCATCGAATGCCTCTTCCTCTGGGGCGTCAATGTCTACGGATGGCGATCGTCCGGCGTGAATCACGTGCTCATCTTCGAGTTGGATCCACGGAATCATCTCTCCGAGCAAAACATCATGGAGGTGGCATCGATATTTGGAGTTATCTGGGCCTGTGCCGTGCTGAGCTATATCTTTTGCGATCCGCTGGGCATTCCACAGTATGCTGCCCCACTTTGCCTCTACACATTGATGGCCGCCTTTCTACTTAATCCCACAAAGACTTTCCATCACGAAGCCCGATTTTGGGCTTTGAGGGTGTTGATACGCGTGATAATGGCGCCCTTCTGTTTCGTTAACTTTGCCGATTTCTGGCTGGCCGATCAGCTGAACAGTATGGTGCCAGCTTTTTCTGGATATACCCTTCCTGATTTGCTTCTTTGGTCGCAGTCCCACGTGGCACAAAGCTGGAAAGGGTGAGTATAGCCAAGATTATGGGAAACTTATTTTAAGTTGCTTTACTTTATTATTTATAGTCTATTATTTCGAACTTTCTATATATAGAAGTCAACATGGTATTTAAAAATATTTTTGTTTCAACACTTTTTCACATTTCCTGTTAACATCGTGTTGAAAAAGTACTTGCATTATATAAGCGAAAACAAACAATGCTCGCCAGCATTTAAATTGAGTTCCGTGAATCGCCGTGTTGAATGATTTAATTACCGAGTACAAAGTGGTTAATTTACCACCATTCTTTTATTATTTAAACCCTCCCCAGACGCCAGCCACTGCGTGGAGTATGTGTCCCTGTTGCATCCCATTGTTGCCATTTTGCCCGCCTACTTCCGGTTTGCCCAGTGCATCCGCCGATACCGCGACACAAAGGAGTCATTTCCGCATTTGGTGAACGCAGCGAAGTATGCAACTTCCTTCTTCGTGGTGATATTCGCCCACAAATACCACACGACCACGGGTAAGTGGATTAATTATGCGGTCGAGGGTTCATTAGGCCATCCCAACGTAGCCGCAAGTGCAAAAATATATACGAGTATACGTATATACGATGCCATTATGCGTGCTGTTTACTGTCCAGTGCCAATTAGTGCCGTCTTCATGGCCGAAAATTCATGTAAATTGTATTTTCGGCAGGAGGGCACGTGCAGCCCCAGAAACCCGCCCACTCCACTCACCCAGTGCCTTCTGATTTACAGACACCTACCCGCTGTCGAAGGAGAATCCTTGGTTCTATTGCTGGATTACGGCGGCCATCTTCTCCTCCTGCTACGCATACACATGGGACATCAAGATGGACTGGGGATTGTTCGACTCGAAGGCGGGCGACAATCGATTCTTGCGTGAGGAAATCGTTTATTCATCGACGGTGAGTCGGATGGCCAGTGTGTGTTTATTTTCCGTTTTCCTTTTTGGTTAGCCAGAGTGGGGCAGTACTCCCCCGCAAATAATGGCCACGATAAATATTTGGCCGAACGGCACGTAAAACAATCTTTCAAATCGTTCATTATCTCTCTCTTCTGCCGGGATCCTATTTCTCCTCGCTCTCCTCAGTGGTTCTACTACTTCGGCATAATTGAGGACTTAATACTGCGCTTCAGCTGGACCCTCTCCATGAGTCTAATTGAGGCCGGCTATATCGAGGGCGACGTAATGATGACCATTCTCAGTCCCCTGGAGGTTTTCCGTCGCTTCATTTGGAATTACTTTCGGTTGGAGAACGAGCATCTGAACAACGTGGGCAAGTTCAGGGCGGTGAGGGATATATCCGTGGCACCCATGGATTGCTCAGATCAGGTGAGTGTTTAATGGAAACTAAACGAATCAAAATGCACTAAAGTAACCTACAAAAAACAAACATAGCATACTGAGTATATAAAATTTAAATTAATCCAAAAACTAAATGCAAAATAATTTACCCAATTTATTATCCAAAATGAAAATTTAAAACATGTCTGTTGTATCCCATTAGTTTTAAATCCCTCATAAAGCGCCACATGAACTGAAAACAAGCGAATAAATTATTAAGCGATGCCGTCAACTTAAAATAGCAATTAACTATGCTCCATCCCGTTCTCCATGAATTTCAGACCACAATTCTACGCATGATGGATGAAACGGATGGAGTGCTGAATCGAAGGCGTGGAAAAGCCGCTGGCGGCAAATCCGCAACCAAGAAGAACAAACAGGAGCAGCGCCTCCTCCTCCAAGGAGAATCCATCGAGGACCTTTGCTCGTAAATAGAAGGATGTGGATGCGGATGCGGATACCCAATGAACAACTCTCTGTGTGCACAAATTTTCAGTTCATGCCAATAAAACACTGCAGTTTCATTTTTGGACAATGACTGAAATATTCCGTTTCCATTGCTTTTCGGATTTAAATGCAAGCAAGTTGCACCAACTCTATTTTTCAGTGCTATTTGTGTACCACATGTGGCCCATGGCGATGGATGATGAGCAGAACTTCAATTTGCGTGACAGTTGAACAATAAACTTTGAACAATAATCGGTTACATTTGGTTCTGCCATTTCGGGTGCCTAAAAATACATTTGCCAGACCATGTTATCCGCTTGGTTGTTGAGGTTGTCATGGCAAAATTTGCGTAAACGTTGGCATATGTAATTACTGCAGACATAACCATATAAGCATGACGTTGAAAAATGCTTTTGTGCTGCTTGCGATACCATAAAAATGGATGACCACCGATTAGCAATCAACTGGCTGCTTACTTCTTGAGCTTCAGCCTATTTTGTGGGCTACGGTTTGTTTTTCTGGGAATTGTGCTGGGACTTTTTATTTGTATTAATATTATTCCGCTTTTGCCTGATAAATTTGCGAGAAATTCCACTGGTAGACGCTGTTGACAAACAAATTTGATGAATTTCACCGTGGGTTACCGCTGGGAGTTTGAAAGGTCCTGTTCACAGCTGCTGTGTATTGATTGATTGATTGGTTTTGTTGCCGGTTTTTGCCCGCCTCAATTCTCTGTTATTAATACAACTTTGAAGTGTATTTATTCCCAGCTGATTGCGTCCTTATCAAAAGTCTCACTTTTTTCAGTCGTATGAGTTTTATGGCAGAAAAACTTGGCAACATTGTGAGTTATGCATATAGTTTTAAGCATTTCGAATTCTATTTGTACCTAACCAAGCCACCAACAACTCAATGTGCTTTGCTCATCTGCCATCGGGCACCACTTTTTGCGGTCTTTTTGGGACAAATAGCGATAATAATAAATGGTTCTTGAATTTAATATGTGCTCAATTTAATAATGCAAACGGAAAACTCTCAAAGTTGGGCGGAAAGAAAGTTTCCCAAATTGTTGCGGAAACTTTGTGTTTCTTGCAGTCAGAAAGTTTTACTAGAGCCTTTCGAAGTCCCAAAAGGACGCTTATTTTTCTTATAAATATTCTCGACAGTTTTTTACGTCAAGCTGTATTTAATTGATTCAATTTTTTAGTTTTGCAGTTGATAAAACTTGTGTTTCCGTGTAACGCAGTTGATGCTTTAACAAGCGAATGGAAAATAAATATCGAGTAAATCTGAAAAATCTGGCACGAAGGTTGATTTGAAAATGTAACATCTGGCAATCAACATGACGTTTATCAGCTTTGGGTTTTCGTTAGGTAAATACGTTTTCAGCCCTTTCTATTCTTCCACTTTTGCACAAGCTGAGTGTTCTATTCGAAAGAGGATTATATCACGACTTTGGGTTCTCGACAAACCAGTTGCTTATTTGTGTGAAGTGAAGGTTCAATTTAAATTGCACTCCTTTCAATTCGATATTTTTAGACAGTGCTCCCTTGGTGGGAAAACATTTTTATGCGAATCCGTTGCCCGGCAACTTCTGGCCATTAGGAACCATTTATGGCTCGCAGATAGGAATTTCCTTTTTACCACTCCTGGGATGTCACATTGATGGGAATCTCCTACGGGCGAGTGCTCGATGCTTCTTTTTTTTATTTATTTTTTTTGAGTCTTTGCGATAAGTGGACCCTTTTTGGGAGTGTTTTTATTAGCCCGAGGATATTTAGTCGGTCTGAGTGTGTGGGTGTGAGGTCCTATTTAGCGACATTTAATTTTTCAGCCCACGAGATGAACCCCTTGATAATGGGGCTCTGTATCTTGTTTTACCTTGCGGTTGTAGCTTTTAGGCAGATGAAAGTGAAAAGCATGCTTACATTCTACCTCATGTTTTTACTCGCATTTAAAGCCTTTCGCAACGCTTACTTTCACATGTCAATGTGACTCTGCCTCATTTTTACCTACTTTGCTGCTTATTTTTTTCGGTTTGCTTGCTTTACTCCTGTCAAAGCAGATTTTCTTTGATTTGACAGGGGAGCCCACACATGTATATAGGTTCAAAGGGAAAACTGATGGCAAATGTTTGAGCACCCAACAATGGCGGCAATCTTTCACACGGCTAACACACCGTGCGTATACGTAATACCATGTTGACAATTTCGGCCTGGCCTTGCGTTTACCACCCATCCATGCTTAAGTTCCTGATTGCAATTGTTTTGTTTAGCAACTCAAGCTTACTTGTTACGTATACGCCATGATGAACGCGTGCAATTGCCCTTAAGCTACGATGTTAGCTTCCACTTGGTTGTGTTTATATATAAACAGTATACAGTATACTGTGGAAACATCTGCGCTGGGTGCTGATAAATGAATAAACATTCCACCCGAAATCGAAGTGACAATGCAATGGCTGAATGCATTTCAACATATAGCAACAATGCAATCGAACTATGCAAATGCTGACGGATTAAGTGATTGAATTGCCTACATTACGAGACGTGTGCGCTTTTAAGCCGCAGCAAATTAAAGTTTATCCAAACTGATCGATTTTCTGTTTTCAATTTAAATTTACAAACAAATGCCTCTTTGCTGCCAATCAAACGGGGATAAAATTGTCCTGTTGCCAGATACATTTCTAATAATTTTCTATGGCAGAATGCTTTGATTACTGACGCATGTTCCGACAACTGACTCATTAAAACAACACCTGTGGGGCAATGCCACTCAAATGGCAGGTCATGAGCCCACGCGGCGTATACGCTATTTGACTGTGGGCAGAATAAAACCGGCAGGGTGAAAATAACAACTTACGCCATCAATTTATCATTGTAACGCTCTGTGTTTCGAGAAAAGCGCTTACTTCATTCGAAACATTGATTGAACAAATGTTTACATCGAAAGTTAATTAATTAATTTAAGGCATCTGACAATGGCGCAGGACATCAAGGTGGGAGTGAAATATTCTGGATATTGCCACTCAATATGCTAATCGAATGCGCCACGAGTTTTAATTAACCGCAAACGACATTTTGACGGCCTGCCAGTTGCAAAACGCTTTGATGGCCTTTAACTTTTGCCTGCCAAATTTAATGCCAGCCAATATATATGGACAACCCGATAAGGGGAGGCATAAATCCTATTTGCCAATACCATTCTGGCCGCACTGTGTGTGTTGTGCTGAGTAATTCAATGCGGATGCGAAGGCAAAGACCTTTAGTGCCATTGATTGATGGCCGCACTGCTTGCTGGGGAAAAAGCTATTTATAATATGTTTATTATTTATCATGCATGCTAATGCCGATGTATAAATATTCGTTTATTGCTCCTGTTTGTTTGCTTATGAAATTTGATTGAAACTAATGGACGCGGCATCCGCAAATATCTCCCAAAGGACACGTAAAAGCCATTCAGAGTGGGATGTATAATTCGACTCAAGGTCCCCGGCTTGTAATTCACCGGAAAGCAGATAATAGGGATAAGGGAGTTCCAGTCGGCGAGTTTCATAACCAGTTTGAAATCCTTAAAGCGCTTTTGCGAGACTCTAAGCTAAATAAGCTTATTTCTTATGCTCACGCGCCATAAAAATTCTATTTCAAGCCATATCAATTGTCAACCGTACTTAAGCTCCAAGCACTTTTAGTCGATTTATCATTTATGGAATTGTTCTTCCCAGGACGAGACCTTTCTTTAAAGGGGTCAACTTCACTTTCCCTTGAGAGGGATAAGGCATCCCCAGCCGCTGGCCAAAATGTCAAGTGGCACTCGCGCAGTCAGCGAAAAGTTTTGACAGCGAAATTCCAAAGCAAACACGCCAGCCGACAAAATAAACAAGCGGAATAACTAAAATTATATCGCTGCTATTCTAATGGAAGATCAACAAACAACGTTGCTTGGCTCGCAGTTAAACTTTGGGGAAAAGCTATTGTTATTGCTCTACAATTAGTTCGCTTGAAATTAGTTTGCGAATTCTAGCCGTCCATTCAGTTGTCAAAACACGTAAAGTTAATTTGAAATTTACATTTTTATTAAGTTATATTCAGCTAAAAAAGTTTTAAGTAATATTTACGCAATGTTGGTATAACATTTATTTTTTGCTTTTTTGTAAACCACTCTATTTTAAGCTAATTGAATTAAAGGCATTAAATTTCTGGCTAATTGAGTTAAATTACGAGGTTCGGGTTTTTGCTCAAATTTCCATATTCATTGCCGCCATATTAATCGCTTTACGGATTTGTTTACCCGCGAAAAGTTGTCATGGTAACTATGTCACCTGCGGTTTGTCTTTAACCCTCAAAAAATGGGTATGCTGGAACTCAGTCATGAAGTTACCATATAAATACAGAAATTCGTTTAAAATCAATTTTCATTTAACAAACACATTGATGTGGGATTCCCCACTGACCAACCGCCAGGTATTTTATTATTTTTCTTTGTTTGTACTGCCAATTAAAAAATCTGGTAAAATGTGAGAAGAACACGAAATGCTTAAAGGACAAGCAAAAAACTCAGTTCGAAAGAAGCTTTAAGAGTAATGTGAAAGGTAAAGAGTTTCGTTCATGGAAAGGTAAACAGATGCCTGCTTGTAGATTTTGTAAATAAGAGGGGTCTTATTTGCGAAATGGATTCTCGTTACTCCTTGTTTTCTTATGAAAAATATCCCAACCCTTTTGTATGCTAATACTGTGAAGCCTGGAAAAAGGACTGCGCTTTGTTTCGAAGAGCGCGGTTTTCGCTTTGAAGCCGCTCGTAAAAAAGCGGGTCAATTAAAAATGGCTTAGGCTTTTGGGTGAAAAGACTCTTCAAGTGGCTCCAAGCGTATCGCTCCAACATGTTAGACATCTGCCTAATTTCCAAAGAATCCCTCATGCATTTTCCCGCCGAGGTGTCACCTAAGCCCGATGCTTTATGGAGGTCCCAAGATTGATGTCTGGGCCTTCTTCCACATAATTTACTTGGACGATTTATTGCTGACAAACGGTTTTCCCCTAATGCGAATGCTTTGCCGACTTATGTCCTAATTATTTTGGCTTCAATATGTGGATGCCGAAATTCCGTTGAAAACCCTCAAAGGCGGAAAACTGTGGCAACGGCCAAGCGGCTTTAAGTCTCCGATATGCTCAAAGCTGTTTATAGTTTACACTCGGCAGAATTCCCTTGTTAAACAAGTCATCTGTAAGCCCCCAAATGACCACTAAGCCGGGGAACTTATGGTCTGTCCTGGGGGGTATTATACTGAAGGACCAGTATGACTTCTCGAGGTTAACGAATTTTAAGCTTCAATTAAAGTTTGGCATGAATAGGCCGAAGGAATTTCATTCCCAAATTGTTGGTATCATTTAATATTCATTAGGATGCTTACATCTTTTATGGCATCTCCCTCGAGCGTGAATTAACTTCATTTGAATGCTAATTTTCTAATTGAATGTATATAGACACGTATCCATGAGCGGGTTTGATGTGCTTTAAGCGAGCACACGCACATAAATCTACATAAATTTTCTGACAACTGACGTTCATATCGACCCTTTGCCAGCCACCGCTGCGTATACGCAATAAAGCGAGTGACAAACTGGCAGCCGCACTCGTCAGGCGTCAAGTTGCCCCAAAAATGCCTGTTTACTTTGTGCCTTTTAAAATACACCAGCACATCCATAACTTTACCCTCTTGTCATACGCTATAAATCAAGTGAAAGTCCAGAGTTTGAAAGTCTGTGGGAGGCAGACTGAAGTCCTTGGGCCTCAACTTGTCTTAAAGCTGTCAATATTTCTTGTGAGCGACGGGAGGATGTAATCAAGCGGGTTTAAAATTTAAAATTTAATTTAATCCGAGTCACTTCATCTCCTGAGCTTGGCACACAGAAGTTTGAGATTTCCATTGTGGCGAGAACTTGGCGCGATGCATGCTCGCCAAAGTTGGACGTCCTTTGTTACACTTCCGTTTCCTGTTGGTCCTGCGGCCGAAAGGGGAGGGGATTTTCAAAACTTTGCATGTTTTACGGTCGCATCAAACATGCATGGGAGTTTGCCGTACAAGCTTATACATTTCCCGCCAAGTTCGATTCGATGGCCACCAAAATGCACGCCAGTCAATGTGTCCGAAGTTGCGGGTGCTGAAGGCGACAGGAATTTCATTTGATTTCACTTACGCCTTAATTAAATTTTCACTTAAGCAGTCAAGACGCTTGGCAAATATTGCCACTGCCCGCCGCACTCAAGCGCTAATGGAAAACTCATTATCCTGGCATCGAGAGTCTGGGATAGCCGACATCCTAGCAATTAGATAGAAAGCGTGCGCGTTTCTGCCGCCTGCAAGCGAGAGTTTATTGTCAGCTGTGTGTGTGTGTGGGTGTGCGTAGCCAGTATCTGGGTTCTGGGAACTGGGATTGTGTTGCGAATGTATATCCCTAAAGTGCCCCACAATGGCAACTTTTAAGAGCCGAGCAACGAGCCAACTGCTGGCTGTGGATAAAGCCGAAAGTAATTCCACGGATTTGCAACGCAACTGCTGCATTTGTTTCTCTTCACAACAGTCAGTAAGTTTATTCAATGGGCTAAAATAAAAAGGCAGAGGTAAAATAAAATTCATATTTTTTGATGAAAAGAATTTATGCGGATTTACACATATTTTCGCAGGTATTACTTTTTTTTGCTTTTCCAGCCCGATAGTTTGGATTTAAATCAAAATCTTTTTCAAAGAGTAATTACAACTGCCTTTCATGGCTTCTAAATCAATTTCATGCTGGTCCAAAAAGCACAAAAAAGGCTAACATGCGGAAAGATGGCAGATACAAATAAAATATTTTATGACTGCTGTCTTTTTGCTGGCGTTTGCTTAAAGACTTAAAGTCAAACAAAATATAAATTGAAGAAGATTGAACAGCGTTTAAGCTTTTAATGATTTTTGTTTGTGCAGGAATTTGCTAGGAAATCCGATATTTATCCAGCAGACTTTACACTGCATTCCACCACTTAGGAATCCATTAAGTTCTGTTTTCCCAAATTTGTAGCTTTGACCAATGAGCAGATGTTCTTGGCATGCCGGTTTTAAAAGACAGGTCAGAGGAATGTTCGGTATGTCGCTGCCTGTGGCAATGTCAATATTTGAGTGACTTTTCACTAAAGTAATAATAGTAGTAACAGTGGCAGTTACGCTGACTCTTAGCGTAGCAGTTTCCATAGTGTTTCCATGGCCATGTGTGTATATATTTCAACGCTGACCACTCAAATCTTGTAAAAATAAAGAAAAATTGGGAAAAACGTTGACAGATTTTGACTTAAAAAAAGCCTTAATCTTCCAAGGTGTTTGGATAAGGTAAAAAATTACTTTTTACACTTGATAAAAATGTACTTTTAATGCGTATGAATAATTAAATAAAAATGGTTTTTGATTTCAATAATTCAATAATTATCCCCAACTACATAAATTTAAATTAATTGGAAAACCTTTAAAAACTGCTTTAAAATATAACTCAATTTTCTCAGTGTGACAAAGCAGTGGCGCCTGCAACATCTGACTCCACGTGGCCTTTTTCAGTCAGGAAGCTGGACAACGGTCTGCGGATTGTGCGGCTTCTCCAGCAGCCACTCTTTGTCATCGACAGCTGGCGGGCGAAATGGCCAGCTCAGACCCTAAACCATTCATCCGCTTCAAGGTAGCAGCACACCGGTGTCATTTGTCCCTGCAACTTCACCTGGGGGTTTAATTAACAGTGCCAATTTAGCCCGATGATTAAGTGCCATTTAATGAAGCCTCTGTTCTGCTCTGATGACGTCTGTAGTCCTGCCCGTTGAAATGGATTGCATTGGATACACTTTTTTCCCTCAAAATTCTTTTCTCTTTTTAATTAAGTCTTTAAAGCCTAATTTGAATACCATTATCCGGCAAATAAAACCACTTAACCCATGCTTCTTGGGTCGAGTCAGCATTTTCAAAAAGCTAATTAGGTTTTTAAAGTCCACCTTTCCCTTGGTCCTTTGTTGTTTTAGGGCTGTTTTGACCTGGGGCTGTCTGCCCCGGTGAAGATTAAGCATTTGAATAATTATTTCAAAAGTTCTGACACGGGGTCATCAGCTTGAGTAACCAAATAGTTTAGCTTTGCCAAGCATTCGGGCTTAAACGGAGCTCACATCCTGTTGTCATTGTCAAGCACCGGAATTTACTCAGGGGGTACAGGTGAACTCAGATAATTCAAATTTGTCTGGTAATATTGTATATATATTATTTTGTCTATAAAATAAGTTAATTATTTAATTTCCCAAATTTATTGCCAAACGTAAAAACGTTGCCTACTTTTTTGCGTTTTTTTTAGAGGGAATATAATGAAGGATGTATTTTATTAATACTAATAATAAATAAATAATAAATAAATAAATAAATACTAATAATAATAATTAAAATAAAATAATAAAAGATAGTTTGTCTCAGCTGTTTAATATTTTTTAATATTGTTTAATATTTTTTAACATATAAAAGATTTCCAATTAATATGCATTTAATGGAAGCTTGACTGTACTTCTCAGTTGCCCAGCCGAGCTGAAGAAATCAAGGGGGCGCAGTGCAGTTTGGCCTGGAGCCTCAAAGGCAAGGACACTAAGCACTTCCTGGAATCTTGTTGCATCCCCCAGTTGGATTCGCCCAATCCGTTTCCATTGGACACCGGCATTCACATGGGTTGCATGTATTTTTAGCTGTAACAGAGATGTTGCCAAAGCACAACAGTGTGTCTCTTGAAAATATTATTCTTCTTTATTTTGCTTTCTCAGGTCAATTAATTTGTAAAAATATCAGAACTCTTGCTTAAATCTGTGCTGGGATTGGGGACAAGAACACGTAACTTGGGCTCAGTGACGTGTGCCACTTGCATCACTGCAGTGAGCCGGGCTCGAAGCCAGAGTAATAATTGGAATTCGGGCCAGTTGCTCCGTGTTTGGCTGCTCGGCAAGGAAGCCTAGTTGCAACGAATTTGTGTTCGTTTTTAGTTAATTGAAAATACGCCTGGCGGGGAGACCCCTAAGGTGCTTACCAGTCCGGGACTGCTGCTCCTCCTCCTCGGTGATGGTGGAGAAGTTGGTCAGCCGCTGCGATGTGATCAGCGGACTGGCTGCCCCAAGGATGCGACGCCGCTTGCCATTTCCGCTTGCGGTTTCCAGCTGCTGCCCGGAATTCTTCTTCTGCTGCTGATGCGTCTGCTGCGCGGACTGCATCTGCTGCTGCGACTTCGTTAATTTCTCGGCCGCTGTGAAGACCACAATAGGCTTGGGTTGGGCGGTTTTCAGGGGGGTGGGAGGGCAGGTAAGCATACATGGGAGTGGCACAACACATTCACCGAATACCTACCGACGCCACGGAGGATGCCTGCCGCAGCTCCGCTCGCTGCAACCGGAACGTCTGGTACTGCGAGATGACACATAGCAGGCAGTAGAGCTGAAAGGGCAGGAGATGGAATGCGTTAGTGGAACTGGATCGATACCCCTATGCAATCCTTAAATACGGAATTTTTATTGCAAAAAATCATAATTGTTAGGACCTTCTATGATTTCGTTTTCAAATATCAATTGTTTAATAAACGCATAGTCATTATATTTATTATAACTACTTCACAGGGTTTGCAAGAATTCTTTTGTAAGCTTGATTTATTTTCTAAAATCATTATGGTTTGTAGCCTTGGTTTATTTATGTACTGGTTATCTTTAGAAATTTTTATAAACTCTAGTTTGTTGTAGTATTTGAAATTCAGCTATTTTTATATATGTTTGTATTTGTTCTACCTTTTGCAAATGGTAAATTGTAAAGGTATTTCTGACAACCTGTTTAGTACAAGTAAAATGATGTAAATAAATATAAAGTTAAGTGGTTAAACTTAGTGCAGAGACAATTTGTTAATCTGTTAAACAATCATGATATATTTTAAATTGGCTTGAACTCACATTGAGGCACAGGAGGAAGAAGTCCATGGTGAAGATGAAACCGACTATCGGATCGAACTTGACGCGGCGGGAGAGGGAGAGGTGCACCAGGTGCAAGCACTCGATGAGCAGGTCGCCCAGCATGAAGCAGATCCAGGGTATCAGCAGCTGGCGCTTGTTCTGTATTTTCGGTCAGGGGGGAGGGATTGGGGTTAGGCCGGTTATTGGGGTATTGGGACAAAGGACACCTCGGCACACTCACCTGCCGCAGACCCAATATCAAAAGGACCGACGAAAGAACCATAAGCACCGAGCAAAACAGAAGCAAAACGTTGAATATCACAGTCACTGCAAAGGGCATAAATCACACGTAATTGAGCCGCTCGCAGGGAACAAAAGGTTGCGTTCGGATGGGGTGTCCTTCCGCAACACAACAGTGTCCTTCAGCCTCACCTACAGTCACATCTCCCTTCTCCAGGAGGCTCTCGCCCACCGGTTGAGTGCGGTTCCCCAGCAGAAATTCCTGCTCCTGGCGCACGTAGAACAAAAACATCAGCGTGGAGAAGCCAAAGTAAACCTGTGTGGGAAAATGGAGAACAAATACTGGCAACATGTAAGGTACACGGAAATTGAGGCAAACGGTTATTAAGTGTGGAAAAACCCCTAAGAGGAGGAGGTCCTTCTCCCTTTCCCCGGAAATCCCCTTCAAGTGACAATTGAGTGCCGTAATTGCTGAGGGAGCATGCAACTTGACTCGGTAATATATTTGCTTGGGTGTTTCCCAAATTTTTGTGCTGAATGATTGTAATTTGGGCTTGTGACAGGTTTCAATTAAGGAAATGTTATACAAGAGGGCTAAGAATTTGTGTAATGAGACAGGAAATGAATGTGTTGAAGGGATAATAGCAATGGCTTCCATTTTGATGTGAATTGTAATCTCCCCCTAAAGCATTTGTTTGTGATGTGAAACTTAACTTAAAGTCAATTTCAAAGTTATTTAAACTTTTCTGATTTAATTGGTAAAAGTCGCTTTTAAATCCCTTTCATAGGTGCTCAAGTGCCTAATAAAAAAGTAAGTTTTGACTGCTTATGCTTGAAAAGTTCAGTTAAGCCAAAAAAGTTTACTCGACTCTTTGCCGTTTGGCTTCAAAAGTTCAAGGGAATTTTGATATATTTGCTCTGCTCCAGGCCACTTCTTATCTTCAGAATTTATTCATATGGGGAAAGGACCTACCAACGTGTAGATGGCACAGGCGAAGCTGCCACTCCGCACATCCTTCCAGAAGCAACAAGACTCCAGGATGGCCATCTTTCAGCTGCTCACGCCTCCTCGATGGACATTCCAAGCACGACAACAAAAGAAGGATTTTTATGTTTTCTTTTTTTTCGGGGAAACGGCTGCCGCCACTTTCACTCGACTTTCTACACTTTCAGCCGCGGGGATTCTTCCACTTTATCTCAATTTTCCCGCCAAACGTTTAATTTGCTTGCTTTAGTTGTTTTCCTTTGGCTGTGTTTTTATTTGCCACTCCGCAGATAAATATCTAGGATGTTTTGTGGCCACCAGCGGGACACTGACACATAATTCCATATACCAGTCGCGCTCAGATTTATGACACTGATTTATGAGGCACAACCGGACGTATTTATGTGGCCCAAAGTGTGGGATTCCGGCACGCGAAGCTCCGAACAGAACCGTCGTCATTGAAAGTCGCATAGGGACTGGCTTAGAAGTCCTTCGCAGGATGCCTCATTGCTTTCAATTTCGAATTGTTCGCACACGTTTTATGAATGAAACTTCGAAAGTAAACGAAGGGTTGGGGATTTTCGGGGTTCACGCATGCGCCTCCTGGCAAAAAACAACAGGCAACAGGCGGTTTTAGAATCCTTGCATCCGGACTGCGGTGAACCGAATTTTCATGCAATTAGCCGCACAACTGTGTTGGTCCTGCCAATACCACAAATTACTGCTCGGGATTAATTCTCGATTGGATTTGCCTAAGCTTTTAATTAACGTGGAAAACGCTCTGCGGGCGTCCTTTGAGTTAAATCAACCGCAGGAGAGGAATGATGGCGTCGAGCCGTCGGCCCGAGTCCAATGACAATGCCCATTTCGTGCTCCAGTTGCTGCCACCGAATCGGAAATGAAAGCAAAAGTAGCCAGGCCACTCGAATGGAAAAGCATCAAGTCATCTGGCTAAAGAAATGAAAGGAATTTAACAAGTCAGAGCTGATTAAATGGTCTTAAAAGGATTAATGTTTACGCAATGATAATGATTTGCCAAAATGAAAATCCAAATAAAGAAGATTTTTACAAGTTGTAACTAACAGATATGAACAGTGATATTTCAATCATCAACTTTGTTAGCTAACACTAAATCATGAGGCAACGATTTCTGAGTCATTTTTGGGATTTTTTCTCCTGTTTAAAAATGGCAAATGACGAAAACCAAGATGGTTTAAATGAAGACGTCGAGAGGTCAGAAAAACAAGGGAAAAGAGATCAGGGCGAGCAGGCGCAGCTTAGTAAGACGTAAGTAGGAATGTCATAAATATTTTTTTTTTGATCTTTTGACCCCCTGGCATGCCCAATTTTTCTGAGTTTTTGATGGTTTGCGCAAAGGAGACGAAAACCCTGACTTCTTGTACCCCTGACTTTTACAATTTAAGCCCGATTGGAAAGTGGCATGTCTCTAAGCGTTTGTAATTGCATCCTTGATAAAACTGCATTCAAAGTATTTTATTTTCATGTCAGACTTTTCCAAGTTTTCAATGGTTTTTAGCATTGTGACCCAAACGAACTTCCAGAACCATTAACTTTTACAATTCTAGTTATCTAATTCTTTGTAATGGGAATCCTGAAAAACGTGGTTTTAAATTTATCAATTTGGCATTCATTTTTTTTTTTTGTAATGGAATTCTTATTAAATAATTTATAGGAAGAGATATACCGTTGAGCCGGAGAAGGTGAACATTGGAGTTCAAGCGTTTGAATCAGAAGATCAGATTATGGTTAGTTATTTTGAGCCTCCGCAGGCTTACGACTCCCAGGATTCCTTTTGGGATCATATAAAATCGGACACATCATTGCCGCGACGAGAGTGGGAAACTGAGGACTATATAGATTTTGATGATCTCCTGCCGATGATCGGCGAGTTCGGTTGGTTCCAGTTGATTCTGTTCCTTTTCATGATTCCGTTCTGCTTTATCACCGCCTTTGTGTATCTGGGACAGATATTCTTGACCTTGACACCCCACGATTACTACTGTTTTGTTCCCGAACTTGCGATAATCCAGAACGAAGAGCTGCGCAAAGAGCTCTCCCTTCCGATGGAAACGGATGGATCCTTTAGCCGCTGCCGGATGTACGACACCAACTACACAAAAATACACTTTTCAGACGATCCAACCGCTTATGTCAATTACTCGTTGCCAACGATGCCTTGCAATCGGGGATATGTCTTCGACAAGGCGGATTATGAGTCGGCCACAATGGAATTTGGCTGGTTGTGCGAAGACGATATGTACTCCACCTATGCCCAGATGATCTTCTTCGTGGGCTCGATTCTGGGCTGTGTGGCTTATGGCTACTTTGCGGATCACTGCGGTCGGGTTTCCGCCCTGGTCAGCAGTTGTTTTCTGGCCCTTGTCGGGAGTTTGGCCACCTCGTTTTCTGACAGCTTTTTCGCATTCGCAGTCTCGAGATTTCTGGTCGGCGCTTCCTATGATACCTGCTTTACGATGGTTTATATTTTGGGTAAGAGCTCGAAAATAATTTTTATTTTAAGCTTATGAATTCGAATTTATCTATATTTTTTGTGTAACTCTCTGTGATTTTATAGTTCTTGAATATGTGGGTCCGAAATACCGAACCTTGGTTGCAAACTTATCATTGGCGCTTTTCTACTCCCCCTTCACGATGGTGATGCCCTGGATTGCCCGTGCAGCTGGGAATTGGCGAAGATTCTCCTCATTTTCTTCACTGCCCATCATTCTGTCGATGTTCTCCTTCTGTGTCCTGCCGGAATCCGCACGGTGAGTACTGCCTAAATTGAATCACAAATTAGTTAAGCCCATCCATTTAGTCGTTTTTCGATCACAGCTGGCTGGTTTCGGTGGGAGACATCGACAGTGCCATGGAGATATTGAAAAGAGTAATAAGAATAAATAAAAAGTATGTGGCGCCGCACATCCTGCAATACTTTGAAAACAGCTGCACCCAATTCTACAAGGAGGAGCTCTACGGCCGTGATTTTAACGTGATCTCGATCTTCAAGCGCAAGCGATTGGCCCGCTATATGATCCTGCTGATTCTGATCTGGATGGCCATGTCCTTGGTTTACGATGGACATGTGAGGGCAGCCAGTGTGCTGGATACCGAGAATGTCTTTCTGTTCTTCACCATCGCTTGCGCCATAGAGTTTCCGGGTAATATCCTCGTGATTTTCACTCTCGATCGTTGGGGACGACGCTGGTGCTCCTTTGCCTACACCACCTTGAGTGGAATTTTCAGCTTGATGGGTGCTGGTTTCGAGAATCCAACATACATGAGAGTATCTGCGCTCTTTGGCAGATTCTTCGCCAATATCTGCTATAATATCGGACTGCAGTGGGCAGCCGAAATACTGCCCACAGTAGTGAGAGCTCAAGGAGTGGCCTTTATCCACACGATGGGTTTCGTATCGCTGCTGATGTCTCCACCGGTGGTGTACCTCTCCCAACTCTCCTTCTCCCTTATGCTAATTGTATTGGGAGCATTGGGAGTCCTGGGAGGATTATTGGCCCTGCTTCTGCCCGAAACCCTTAACCACGAACTCCCGCAAACCCTAAGCGACGGCGCTGAGTTCGGGAAGAACCAACGGATCTGGCATGGACCCTGCTGTGGACCGGGGTCAAGGAAGTCCCAACGCACCCCCACTTGGCGTCGGGGCTCCAGTTTGAGGACCTTGTCACGGGAGGAGTTCCGATCGTCCAGGATGTATCGCAAAACATTTTATGTACCCCGGGAAATGAGCCCGACGTCCAGCGAAACTAAGAGCTTTAATGAAAAAGTAATACGAACTTATAATTATGGAAGAAGTAGTACGTAAATTAAATGTTTTTTTTTAATCGAAGAAAAATAAGATGCTTCTTTAAAAGCTGTTTGATATTAAACTTAACCATTTTTTTTAAATAAATATGAGAAAAAAATCGTGTTATTTATTATTGTTTGAAGAATTAAAACTTCGCTTAAACACTTTCAATTCGTATTAAGAAAAACAAATAATCTCTTACTAAAACACTATTTTTTTCTTGGCAAACTTTAAGCATTATAGTTTCCCAGAACAGTCTTTTTGTCGTCGGTTGTTTATTAATCAACAGTTTGCTAACTTCCATGACGAATACTTTCGTCACGGGGAAAATTCTGGGAATTTTACTTCTGGGCTAGACACTTCTTTATTCGCTGTTGAATGTACTACCAAGAATACTTTTTTAAATGCTCGGAAGGATTGCTCTGTTTTTGAGTGTGTTGTATGTGCTCCTTAATACTTTTTTGCTGCGCTGGGCAGCAGAGAAAATACCACATATGATTGATGACGATGAGGAGCACTTTAATGCTACGCTGAAGAAACTATTAAAGCCGCGATATGTTGGCAGCCCAGGGCACTCCGAGGTTGGTGACTTTATCGAACAGGAGCTATTGCGCTTGGATTTAATGGTAGCTCGGCATGACTTTCAAATGGGAGCTAATTTCACCAATTTGGCTGGCATTTTAAATCATGATGCAGAGCATTTGTTAATTCTAACATGCCACTACGATAGCCAAGCCCCAACGGATGGGGTCAAGGAAGCCTTTCTTGGAGCCACCGAAGGAGCGGTATCTTGTGCCATTCTCCTCAATGTTGCCAAAACGTTGAGAACGTTTTTCAAAGATCTTTCTAAAAAAAAAGGTGATATGGGTCTGGCTGTAAGTAGTTGTATTAACAAGAAACATATTTACTGATATAGTTGTTTAAAGCTAATATTCTTTGATGGCAATAATCCCTTGCCTTCGGAACCTGAAGAGGAAAATGGACTGAAAGGTTCCAGAAGCTTTGTAGATGCCGAATATATTCCTTTCCCTGCAATGGTAAATACTTAAATTATCTTCTTTTTCTAAAATAAAAATTTTTTTTTTTGTAAACATAGGCTGCTACAGTCACCCTTGGTTTTATCGGAGCTCCTAATCAAACTTTCGTGAGCCAGTTTGAAGACACCAATGACCTCTTCAATGTCCTTGCTGACATAGAAACGGATCTAAGAAATGCTGGAGAGCTTGCTGACTGTCATGTTTTGTTCCAAAAGGAAAAGCAATATGACAATGATCAGATTGACGATCATCTTATTTTCGAGGAATTCGGTAACTTCGCATGTTTATTATAAAAACACTATTTATTTCGAGATTTCTTATGCTTACAGGTGTACCAGTAATGCACTTAGCTCCACAAGAATTCCCCAAAGTTCTTTATACGGCAGATGATAATGCCGAAAACTTGCATTGGCCTACCATTCGGAATATGAACAAAATTATACGCAGATTTGTATATCATTTCTGTGAACTATGGGGATCCTATGTGTTTTTAAGGGATAGATTTGTTTCATACTATGATTTGGATAACGATTAAAAGCAATTCTAAATATTTTTAAAAACTCCTAAATTTGAATTCTTGTGCTTTCTAGGGTTAAGCAACGACAGTCATTAGTAAGCGTGGCTCTGAATTAGTGCACCGTAATTAAGTTAATTACTGTTATCAGCTGCAATTAATCGCGACAACTGTGATCGGTGATCACAGTGCACTTTTCCCCAACGACCGTAGGCTTTAAAGTCCCACGACTTCTCTCGCAGCATGACTGACTCTTCAAAAACTCTCTCGAAAGCTTTCGAAATACATTTGCCCGCCAAAGAGGCAACGGAAAACGAAAACAAAAGCCATCAGCATCGAAATCACAAAAAAAAAACCTACGGTAAAGATCGATTTTTCTGGCGTCGACCGCGCTTAGTGCGTCGCCAAGCTCCAAAGCATATAGATGGGGATCGGTTCCGTGATTTTTTCCGCCGCTGGCCTGCTGCTCCTCCTCCTCCCGCCATCCGAACAACAAGCTTCAGCGGGGAACGTGAGTTACCCTCATTGTGACTCACTTTGGAAATCACACTTGGTACCACCCAAAAACCCATCTTCAACTTAATCTAAAATTCCAGGTTGCATCCCAGTGGCGCGATGATGAGGTCCATTTTAATCGCACTCTGGGCTCGATTTTGGTGCCACGCGTCGTCGGCAGTCGGGGCCACCAACAGGTGGGTCATAAAGTTTTTAAACATCATTGATTCTTATAAATTTAAAATTACGAACAGGTGCGCGAGTACCTGGTACAATCGCTGAACGGCCTTGGTTTCCAAACGGAAGTGGATGAGTTCAAGCAACGAGTTCCAGTTCTCGGCGAGCTAACGTTCGCAAATGTTGTGGGTACCATAAACCCGCAGGCCCAGAATTTCCTAGCTCTGTCATGTCACTATGACAGCAAGTACTTCCCCAATGATCCCGGATTTGTAGGGGCCACAGATTCCGCGGTTCCCTGTGCCATTTTACTAAATACTGCCAAAACCCTGAGTAGCTATCTGCAGAAAGAGTTTCGCAACCGCAACGACGTGGGACTTATGGTGAGTTGTTTACATTAGCGGTCATTATAACATTATAACCTTGGTGGCTGACAAAATTTTCCTAGCCACTCGAGCTTAACGTAACTTAAGCAAAAACTAGTTATTCGTTTGTTATTTATACTTAAAGAATTTACAATTAAAAATGTTTATTTATACAGCTATTCGAATTCCCAATTATAATTATGGAATTCTTCTTTTACATGACCAGCTTATTTTCTTTGATGGCGAGGAGGCTTTCAAGGATTGGACCGCGTCTGATTCCGTTTACGGATCGAAGCATCTCGCTTCCAAGCTGGCTCGAACCCGCAGTGGTTCCCAAACTGCTAGCCAAGCTCAGCTGGCCCCACGCAATATAGACCGAATTGTAAGTCAATGACCTGCGTAAGAATTATCAGCTTGCTAAATTTAAATCTATAACAGGAAGTGCTGGTGCTGCTGGATCTTATCGGAGCGCGGAATCCCACATTCTCTAGTTTTTATGAAAATACTCACGGCTTGCACTCCAGCCTTGTGCAGATTGAGAAGTCCCTGCGAACTGCTGGCCAGCTGGAGGGCAACAACAATATGTTTTTAAATCGAGTTAGCGGCGGTCTAGTCGATGACGATCATCGTCCATTCTTGGATGAAAGTAAGTTTGAAATATATTTGTGTTTCTTCATTACAGCTACACATTTCTTGTAGATGTTCCTGTGCTGCACTTGGTGGCCACTCCTTTCCCGGATGTCTGGCACACACCTCGCGATAATGCCGCCAATCTGCATTGGCCCTCCATACGGAATTTCAACCGAGTATTCCGTAATTTTGTGTACCAATATCTAAAGCGTCACACGTCCCCAGTAAACTTACGTTTTTACTAAGTTTAGTTTTGTTTGTTGGTCTTATGTCTAAGATTTATTAAGCATAAGTGTAAAGTGTTTTTCGTTAATTAAAGTGTCCTAAGGCATGTTAAAGTTCCAGTCTAGCGACGTTTGCGACCGGCCTGGGCCTTCTTGCCCGGAGCTCTTTGGCCTCGATTACCCTTGGACTTCTTGCCGACCGCCTTGCGACTGCCCTTGCCCTTTGGCTTCTTGCCGCCTTTTTTAGCTCCTCCATTTTCAGCCTCTGCCTCGCGTCTGTAGGATAAATAATCGTTTTAGTAATATCCAATTAAATAACAACTTTTCTACTTACGCCAAGCGATTGTCGCGCTTTTCCATCGAAACCGCCTTGGCCACGTCCAATTTGGGCTTCTTGTTCAGCACGCTCTTGATGAGATCCAGATTGGCCTCCTTCTCGGGCGTTTGTGTGATATGCGACGCCTTGCGTTTGCCACCGGGAATCAGCTCCTTGACGCCCAGGCCACGTGCCTCCTTCTCCTTGGGCAGTTTGTTTTGGAACTTGCCGACAGAAGCTGTCGAGGATTTGGCCACAGTAACGGCGGTTAAGAGCTGACTAGAGGAGGCAGCTTCAGGTCCCAGGTAACCGCTGCGTGGCATATCTATCTTTTTGGCCCGCACAATGTTCTTCATGCGCTGTATCTCGTTCTTGGCCACCTTTTCGTTGCGCAGGTCAATCTTCTTCTGGAACATGTCCGTATTAGGGTCAGCATTCTGTGGCACCTCCAACACCCAGTCCTTGGCCTTCTCGGCCTCGGCACGCTTGAAACCATATGTGGGAACCCATTTCTGTAGGATTTTAGGAAATTAGTTTGCAGTGTTCTAATGTTTAGTTGTATTAAACTTGCATCCATGGTTTCATCGTAGGTCTTCTTCTCCTTCTTCTTCTTACTGATACCCTTCTCCTTGGCGAACTTCTCCCATTTGGTCATTGGTTTTGGTCCTGGTGGTTTTCGAAGGCGGGGCAGTACGGTCGTGGGTTCCGGCAGTTTGGCCACAATGCTTTCGTCCACTCGTTCGGTGGACAGTTCCCATATGGCGTTCACCAGGAGTTGCGTGTTATCCCGGGTCAGTGCGGTCAGGTACTCCTCCCTGTTCTCCCTAAAAATCAGAAGTATAAAATCAGTTTGAAATCTTCGCCAAAACCTTCACTCACTTCAATTCCCGGTCATCGAAGTCGTTGGGATCTGTGATCAGCAGGGTTCCTACGTCCAGGCGACATTCCAGATGCTTTTCTACCGTGATCGGCTTGTATTTGTCCAATTCCTTTTGGTGTTTCGCTAGAACTTCCTTGACAACATCCATTTTTTGGGAAATAAACAGCAAATTCAATTTCTCGTACACGTGCTGACCAGTGTGACCGTAATCAAGCGAAGAAAGGAGCCCTAAATATACTTACTTATAAAATGCTAAACAGTCATCGCGGACTCAAACCATTGGAGTCTCGATTTAAAGGTTACACTAAAAAAGAGCGCATTTTTCAAATTAACACTGTATGGCAATAAAACTTGTTTGCGTTCATTTTGATTACCTTTTATTTCCAAATAATGTGTACATGTATAACCTCTAATTCGAGTCTCCGATTTAATCTGTATTTGGCTAATGATTCCTGCAGCTTAGCGTCCATCGCTTTTCCGCTTCGTCCATAGAATGAGGCATATCGGTGTTTTTGGTCTCTGGCAAGATCACAACTATAATAGCTGCGATCAGCGAAAGTAAAGCGATTATAAACATCGGTAGGGGCTCGTAAATGTGGTGGGTGTAAACAATAACCGGTGACATCAGAACAGATATTTGTCCCAAAACATTGATGGTGGCCATACCCTGACCGCGCACCACAGTTGGCAAGATTTCCGAGCTCCATTGCATGTGCACATTGTAGGCAACTGTAACGAAAAATCTGGCAATAGTCGCCATTATTATTACTTCCAGATTTTTTTCTAGGAAGCCAGCCGCAAGACTGAAGCCCGCACAGCAGAACATCACGACCGTCATAATAGGTTTGCGACCCACACGATCTAGCAGCAACAAAGGCAGAATTCCAGCCGGCAGTTCAACGAGAGAGGAAACGGAAAATGTGAGGAAGATATCGGTGCTCAAGAACTCGACGACCCGCACATGAGCATCGTACACCAGAGCCACCATCATCCAACAAACGATCAGTATGATCATAACCACAGACCTGCGACAAGTTTTGAAAAGATCCAGACAGGTGTGGTGTTTCAATTTGAGTTCGTTTTCCAATTTGAGTTCAAAACATTTCTCCATTTTTGACCACTCCTTATCGGAAATAGTTTTTCCATTGCTTTCAGCTGCCTCCTTCAAGACTAGCATTCCTCTCTCAAATTTTCCCATCGATAAGAGCCAACTGAAATTATGTAAAGAGGAATATCATTCTAGGAAGGATGATTTGGGGACTCACCTGGGTGATTCGGGAAGCAGTAAGCTTACCAAAATCAGTAGTACCACTGGTAGAGCGATGACCAGGGCGTAATGCCTCCAATTTTCGAAGGCATAGGCAATCCAAGGCAGAATGACGGTTCCCAAGGTAAAGAAGACAGCAAGACCCAAATTTCCTACCAAGGTACGATATTTAATGCCTACGTTTTCCAAGGCTGTAAAGAACAATACGCTGATAAAAACACGTTATTAAAGAAAAAACTAATCCTTAACTTACTTAGAATATAGATGGGAAGAAAGCAGTTATTCATGGCCAGTCCAACTATACACCTGCTGGCAGCAAAGCAGTAAAAGTCCTTGCACACTGCACTAATGCAGCCGCCGATCATTGAGCAAGAATTCGCCAGAAACAAGGCCACCAAACGACCGTAATGATCGGCGACATAGCCAAAGCAAAGACAACCCACAACTGAGCCAAGAAAATAGGCTATAACAGAATAGGTACTGAGCTCCTGTTTATCGCACACCCAATTATATTCGGTGGCAATGGACTCGTAGGGAATCTCGTTACGGTCATAAACCCAACCATCGTTGCAGGACACCGTTCTCCTCGTCTGATTGCTCATGTTAGTCATATTCGAATCTAAGGGCTCATTGTACATGACACAATTCTCGTAATCTCCATCTGGCTTTGTGGGGATTCCCCGCTTTAATTGCTCTTCCTTGGGCAACCCCTCCAGTTCCCGAATTCTGCACCAGTGAGTGGGCACTAGCACCATGAATATCTGGCCAAGGTAGGTGAATGCAAACAGAAAGGCGGCCAGAAGCAAGCCAAGGAGTAGTTTCCTCTGAAATGGTCCAAACTCTCCAATAATCGGCAGGAAGTCCTCATACTTCTGACAATCGGCCGACGGCATATCCCCACAAAACTCGGAAAATATTAAAGAGGCAAAATTCAAATTTTTTAATGGCCAACTATTCTATATCTGTCCGAAATGGTATTTGGTTTGAATAATAATAAATAATATATTTATAAACAGTCATCATTTTAAGCGAAGTTTTAAAATCAAAATTTTGCCCCCAATTCTTATCGATAAGTCCAAGGAGCTTCGCGTTTCCGGATGGTATTTTTGGTTGTACAGATTCTGGTAACACCTTTTCAACGATATATCGATCAATCGATAGGCCTCAACTAGTTTCACCTCTAATTTGCGCGCAATATTTTTTAACAACAATGGATGCAGATTTTCTGTCGCTTAGAAAAAGAATAACAAACACGTTTAAGCTATGTGGATTTCTCATTCGCTCCGAGAACAGTTCCTATCTGGCTGAACAGTTGCTGCCCTTCGACGCCGCCGAACGAGACAAATGGCTGACGGTGATCACGGAGAATCTTCAGAGTCAAAAGCTTTTGACGCCTCATGTGGAGCGGGCAGCCCTCGAAAAGGCCATCAATGAGCTAAATCGAGTGGGATTGGATGAAGGAGAGACGGTGTTTTCCCTCATCGATGCATTTACGGTACCCCGCTTCCGGTACAATCAGAGAGTGAAGAAGTTTGAAGTGGACACTCAACCTCGCCAGTTGCTCACCGATCCTCGCATGAAATCGGACTACATGCAGCAGCGGTACGCCATGCTACTCCAGAAAACCCTGCGGCATGACCTCTTTGCACCAGCTGTCATCCAGGATGGCGTGGGAGCCGAGGCACAGGTCAAGAAATTCAAGCTTCAGTTCGCGGAGAACCTGTTGGCCACGTCCGCCATGAAGGAGGCGGTGGTTTTAGGTCTGCTCACTCAGCTGAAGGAGGGAAAATTTTATGTGGAGGATCCCACGGGTTGTGTCGAATTGGATCTCAGTGGAGCACGTTTTCATGCCGGCTTCTTCTGCGAAGGTTGCTTTGTCCTAGCTGAGGGAAACTATAACAATGGGGTGCTTAAAGGTAAGTACACACATAAAGGGATTTAAATTTTATAATTATTATAATATTCTCTAGTGGATGGCCTGGGCTTTCCGCCCGCGGAACCTGCGACCAGCAGCCGAGCGTTTTTCGGCACCGCCAATACTTGGGGCGGTGAGTCGGCGAAGCTACTGAAATACTCACCCCGTCTGCAAGAAATGGAACGCACCAACACTGAAACGACCATTGTTTTCCTATCCGATGTTCGATTAGATCTTCCCGTGGTCATGGACAAACTGCGCCAGCTTTTTGTGGGCTACGATTCCTGCCCACCGCAGGCTATAGTGCTCATGGGTCCTTTTACGGCCAGCACAAGGAATCATCACGAACTGAGGCATCACCTAGATGCTTTGGGTGGCTTAGCAGCTGGCTGCGAGCAGCTGAAGAAGCAAACGGATCTAATACTTGTTCCCTCATCGGAAGATCCAACGGCACCAAATATTCTGCCCCGGGCTCCAATACCAGAGTGCCTGGCAGCGGGTCTGCTGAAGTCCTGGCCGCGCACCCAGTTGGCCACGAATCCCTGCCGTTTGCAATACTGCACTCAGCAGATAGTTGTCTGTCGCCTTGACCTGTTGGCTAAGTTTTGCCGGAACACGTTGCATTTTCCCGAGGACACATCACAGATCGAGCAGCATTTTGCTAGAACCATTGTGTGCCAGGGTCATTTGGTGCCCATTCATCCCATCGCCATGCCAGTGCACTGGGACTACGATCCTGCCTTGTGGCTTTATCCGCTGCCCGATTTGATCGTTATGGGGGACTCGTGCCAGAGTTTTAGCAGCAATCAGCATGGCTGTACTGTCCTCAATACCGGCTCTTTCGTCAAGTCAAAGTTTGCTTTTAAAGTGTACATACCTGCCACTCGTACGATAGAGGACTCTGAAATACCAGACGATGTGGAGTAGATTATAGTAGTTCACCTTAACGTAAGTTTAATAATTATTTAAATTTATATGTTTACCTGTTTTTTTATTATATTCAACTATTTACTGGGGTAATAGGCTACGAGCCTTTGATCAATTTGAACTTATTAGATTTCTAGTTAAAAAAGTAGGGACATTTTTTCATTGGGGAACCCCTGCTATTAAAGGATTAAAAAACCTCTGCAAAATAAACCCCTTCTGAAAATCCGAGCCTACCGAATAATTCATACATTTACAGCCTAGCTATTTAATGATTTGAATATAAACATGTTTCGGGGGCTTAGCATCCTCCAGCTTCACATGTTGCTTGGCCAGCCTCCTCCCGGACCTCAGCCGTCCGTGCGTGTGCCTGTTCCCTTGTGATAAGCGGCCCAGCCTCATCACCGTCGTCGTCAGTCATCATATGCGCACAGCATGTGTTCCACAATCGTCTCCTGGCTCTCCGGCTGACGGGCCTCGCAATCTGCTTTTTACTGCGACCGGGGGTTGTCTATTACTTTTCATGACTTAAAGCCGATTTGGAAAAATATTGTTACTCTTCTCGGATGATGGTGGCCACTTTGGGTCGTGGAAATTCAATTTCCCAGGCTGGCGCGCAGCTCCTCGGCAGCTGAAACGGCAATTTTGATAATGCGTTTGACCTGGGGACATCGATGGCCCCCATTTGCTGTCACATGACCAGTTGCCGAATCGTTTTTTAAGACATCATTAGCCGGGTTTTGCCGCCGAAGGGGAGGTGGTTTTTTTCTGCCTCGCAGCGTTTTCTCTCCTATTGATTTATGATTTATGAGTGTTACTCGGATAGTTGGGTGCCGCACGTCCCTGGGATCAATTTCCAAAATGTGTCCGCCATGAGTGTCAATTCGATTTGGGGGGCGTGGTCAGCCCTGAGTGCTAACTATATTTGTTTTTTGGCCATCCCCTTTTGAACCTTAACATTTATGTTTCCCTGTTTTTATGCTACTCTATGCAAAAAGTCGGTTTCAAAATGTTTTCTCTGTAACAACAATCTTGCTTCTGCTTCATTTAACTGGTACACTGGCAACTTTTGAAATTTAAATATTGTTTTCCGGCTGCCCCGCAACTTGGCCGCAATGCGAAGCAATAACGTAAAAAAAACATTTTATCTGTTATGGTCATCGGTTTTTATGTCGTTCTCCCCGCAAAGTTGACACCATTTAATTTGGAGCTGAAGTTTTTTCCATTCCTCCAGACTCGGGACTCGATTAAGGCAATCGCTGATGCGGAATCCGGGAATCTGTGTCTCGGCCATCAATCACTCGACCAGATGCGTCCCCAAGTGCTTCGAGTCCAATCAAGGATCAAAGCAACTGCCCAACGTATCCCACCTTTGGTTATCCTTCCGCACACACATGCTCGGCAATCAAAACGGAATGCACTCATGTGCATGTCCTGTGGTTATTTGACAATTGTTAGCCCATCTTTTGGCTTTGTTCGGTCGATTCTTCGGTGTCGCCAAGTGGCCATATGCCATGCGTCCCGGGCAAATCCATCCAGTAATCCCCGCCTTGGTGGTGTGATTTTGATTTGAATGAATACTCTTAACTGGGGTGGCTTTAATCGTTTGTCGTTGATACCCTTTCGATGAATATGAAATTTTGGTTGTTTATGATGTGTTCGAAAGGGTTGTATTGTTTAATTTTTGAAACAAGTCAAGAAACTAGTTCCTAGTATTAAAACAACAGCTAAATAGCAAAGTGAAACGTTTATAATTTGATAAAAAATTTATAGTTTTATTTCCGTAGTTAAAAAATATTGTATTCAACTAAAGAAAGCTATTTAAGAGCATACATAACATAAATTAGAAAACCTCATTTGAAGGAGAATATCTATAAAAATATTTTTAGCGCATATGGTCAAAGGTTTAGCCTGGTACTTTGAAACCACAACGTCAACTGGAAAATCAAAAGCTCGCCTTTGTTTATGAGCTCGCTCCTTTGTTCGCAGCCATTGAGACTTGGAGGGTTTATTAACTTTTTACGGACTCGACAATGAGCTGCATCCTTATAGCTGCTTTCGGCATTCAAAATTTGATAGGGTTATCATCAACATTGTGTGCTGCAGCAAGGGCTACTAAAACCCTGGAAGAAGTGCACTTGAGGAGGGAGCAAAAGGAGCTGGATTTTCGAGTGAATGCGCTTCATAAACTCCGCTGTGAATGTGTGACAACAATGTATCAACTTGAGCCCCGGACGAACGGCGGTCCAAACTCCGGACGTGTGCCGACATTTACGCCTCAATTATCAGCCGCAGAGCAAACACTTGGGGTCACCCACTTGCCATCACGCAGAGGCGATAATTTGCTGGCCATAAGCTGCTCCCCACACACATAATCCACACACATGTCATAAAGCCTGGACCACCCAGCGTGTCCAGCCATTCCATTCAATCTTGAAGCAATCCCAAAACGATCCCATATCAACCAATCCCAATTCAAAAGCGGAGCAGCCAGTGACACGTGCCGCCCATTAATTTACGCGTTGGCTTTATCTGCGATTTGCTTGCGCATTCCCAGCCAGTCCTGTTGGTGGATAACTCTCCTCTCCTCTGGCTTCTCGCAGGTCCTGCCACGTGCCAAAGTTGGCAAATCAAATGTTTTTATTATTTAAAGCGACAAACGGCGACGCCGTTTTATTGTTTTCCTTAAGCCGATAACAACTGGATGTCTGTGGAAGTCGCCTGGCAGGACAAATTACAAGGCAGCCGCATCCTGACCGCCATTGTCCTCGGATTGGATAACGAATTGCACCTTGGGGACACCGCGCTGTCGGTTGTGTCCTTTGTGTCTTAATGAACCAACTGGCATGTGATAAATTTTAATTGATTTCATTTTCATTTACGTCTCTGTGGCTTTTGTCCGGGCTCCTTGGCTCCTTGGATAAGGATCCGCGGCTAAGCGCGGCTCATTAGCCAAGGATAATGCATCTAGATAACTCCGCCATGTTTGACGTAATTGAATTTGGCTTCTTAAGTTCTTTTAGTAATGATCCTAAAGATGTTTAACGATAGCTAAAGTCATTTATTCTGGGTGGGTTTGGCTTATTTAGCATCAGTCGCTGGGGATCTCTTAACTTTATTTATTTTTATTAGCCATTAAAGCATTCTTAGCCTTGTGCATTTTAAAATATAACCTTAAGCTGGGTACCAACTGAATTGTTCATTTAGAGTACAGAATATACTCAAAAATATTTATAAAAGTAAAAAAATCATATTAAACTAAACAGTTTCAATATTAAATTTAGTATTTAAATTAAGTTGAATATTCCTAATATCTCTTCTAGAAATCAATTAATTTTACCATCTAATCCCCACTTTTCTTGCTGCTCGAGACTATTTTCGGTTATATATTTCAAATTGATTGCATTTAAATTAAAACTCAGCATAAATCACCTGAGTGGCCAGGACTTTCGACTCGGCCATTGGGCGGCAAAAGACAAAAGCCCCAATTCTGCAGCCGTGTCAGCACAATGGCACAGGCGACATAAGCCGATTTCAGGGATATCTCTGCCTGGATCCAGTTCCCAGCTCCCAGCGCCCAGTTCCCAGCCACCGGCCCATGTCCTCCCAGCCCCCAAAAAATGGTTCGAAAATTATCATGAACGCACAAGTGGCTTGTACTTGTCACACGGAGAGCAAGTCGGTTAGCAAAAGACCAAACCCCCACACCCATCATGAACCCATCTCCATCCCCTCGTGGACATGGCAAAATATTTTCATTGTGTTTCAGCAGATTTTCCACACGAGAAGGGGGTTGGAAAAGTGGGTTCAGTGGTAGCTGAAACTCGAAATGCGATTACCTGCGCTTGCCTATTTGTAGCTTGTTGTTCGGTCCTCCAAAAAAGTGAGGAGTGGGAACCGTCCGTCCGCCGTCCGTCCGTCCTGCCCTGAATGCTAATCGACTTTTGATTGTGTGCTTCCACGGGGCAGGAGGTTCGCATTCGCATTCGCACAAAAAGGTTCAAATGGTCGAGCCATAAATAGGAATTTATGCGAGATTGTTTTTTTGGAACGGAGGACCGCCGAGATTTATGGACGAGGGTGGTCGGTCGACGGTCCAGTGTGTTGATTGAATTTTCATCACGGTTCGATGGGAGGTTTTTGGGCCTTCAGGATGCGGATGCGGATGCGATGCGGCACAGGTGACATATTCCTGCCGACCGAATGACAAGTGTTAACGCCTGTTTTGTTTATTATTTTCTTCCCTTCCAGGGATCTCTATTGTAATTGCTAAAAAACTTAAGCTGCGTAAAATCCCAAGTTTCAATTTAACGCTCTCATGATTTCTTGTCGGGATTTCCTGGACATGTGAGTTTGACAAGTGCAGCTTGCACTGGCAGCTATCTTATCTAGGCTTTTTTTTATTTCATTTTTTTTTTTTTTTTTTGATTGGAAAAGCATCCGCCATCCGCTGGCGCTCCCATTTGACACTAAGCAGATGCGCTTGAGAATGGTCCATGTGGCAGTTGAATCTCTCTCGCTCTCGCTCTCTTTCGAAATTCGAGCTCGACAGGATTGTGCAGAGAATCCTTTTTGGGAAAACTTGGGGCATGCGCCTGGGGAATCCAAAAAGGGGCGTGTTTCCGCGAAGCGCCAATGGCAAATGCCAAAATGGAGTCGCCACAGAGTCGTTGAAGCGGGACAGGAAATTGATTGGGGGGCAGAAGAGTCCGGAGAACGGAGTCCCCTGCACATGATTGCACATATGTGCCGGCTGCGATTGCTGGCCAAGATTGCGAGTGGAAAAGGGAGAGAGCGGTTGCCAAAAACCAGAACAGAGAAAACAGAGAAAAAAAAATGGCGAAGTCCCGACGCTATCGCTTGCAGGCAACATACGTGTGTACTCGCAACAACATGTGTGATGTGTGCCCCGCCGTATGGAAGGCCCCTTCTCTCCGGGATCCTCTCCGGGATCCCTCCCTTGCAGGACTCCTCGCTGCCCTCCAGCCCTGCAGCCCGGCTCACCCATATGTAGGTTTCTACATACAATGCGGCGTAAATAAAACAGTCTGCCACCACAAAAGCGACTTCCTTGGTCCTGCTTCTTTCGCTCTAAGCATTTTGTTTTATTATCATAGAGTGGGTTCTTGGGCTCTTGGCTCTTGGATTTCGGTTATGGCAAATGCCGGAAGTAGCGC